TTACAAGGGCTTTGAAGGAGGACGTCCAGGCCGGCAGCGAGTCGAGATCCGGGTCGAGGATATCAGGGACAAACCATTCTTTGGCTGACCCACTGAGATAGGAAAGGGTGTAGTTCACCTTCCTTTGGTCGGTGAAGTACTTTGGACGGTCATTAAAGACCAGGGCGAGATTGACGAAGAACGTCTTGAGTTTACGGGGATCCGAACCGTCGAATACCTCTGGCTCCTTGACCTTGCTCTTGGATTCAGAGCTGTCAGAAGGGCGGCCGAGAGCGGCGAGGACGGTGCCAAGGGTCTCAATGGAACCCTTGAACCCCGAGAGGAGTTCCAACATAGCACGTTGCTCGTTGGGGATGTCAGGAGATATGGGAGAACGAGGTCCACCAGGTCCACCAGGACCGCCGGGACCACCAGGACCACCAGGTCCACTGGGGTCACCAGGCTCACCACGCGGTAAACCGCCAGAATCGTCATCCAGATCGTCATGATTGTTGTCGGCGCCCGGATCGTCGGGGTCGACAGGAGGGTCTTGATCATCGTGATCACCGGTGTCCAAATCGAAATGAGGAGGTGGGTCACGAGGAGATTCAGAAGTAGCACGACGTTGGGGTTGTTTACCCGTACGGCGGGCTATGGCTTGGAGGATTGGGGAATCAATTCGAGTAGTAGACCGGCCCCGAGCCGGAGCGACCACGGGGGGTTGTCCACGGCGAGGGGTCAAGACTTGGACAGGTTGTCCGTCACCAGTGTACAAGGTGCTGTATTCGAATTGTTGTTCCTCTTCCATAGCTTCAGGAAGAGTCGACGTAGTTGGGACTGTAGCTGGACCGAAACCGCGATTACGGCGACGTGGTTGACCGATAGCAGAGATAGAGTCGGAGAATGGGGCAAATGATTGAGCTGTAGTGAAGAAAGTGTTTTCTTCGGAGTTAGCTCTAGATTGAGCTCGAGTTTTCGGAGGCATAAAAAATGATATGTCAGTACGACGTTAACGGATTGAGTTTAATTATACTGTTAAGATCATGTACACCGTGTAACCGTGCCAAGGCCACAGAGTGTCTAAGTGCGGAAGACGAATGGGACAGTAGTGAAGTTATTAACAACACCGCCGTTACGCCGTTAGTCCCCGGAGAGCGAGAGTAGAGAGAGAGGAGCTAAGTAGCAGCCAGGTCGGAGCGGCGGTATCGCCGATGACGAGGAGCGAACCAGAGAACGTCAAAGTCCTAAGGTCGAGGAGAACGTACTTCGAGGCGTTGAGCCTGAAGACTTAGAGAAGAGTTAAGTTGAGAAGGGAGATCTAGGTTGATCTAAGTTGATAATTAAACTGAGGAACTACAGTAGCGTACAAGCAGTATTTATATCTACGGAACGGCGCATCGGTGCGGAGCGCTAGACTAACTACTAGGAGCTATACGAGTAGTACCTGCAGGGTAGAGTAAAAGACAATAAGGAGAGACTAGCACGAAAGAGTAAAAGACAATAATGAGAGACTAGAACGAAAGGATATGTGTAGCGAGAAAGAACAATAGGAAGAGATTACAATAAGAGCAGATCTTCGGAATACCGAGCGGCGGAATGGAGGCCCGTGGCATGGACTTGACAGGAGGTCGATCTTTGTAAAGATCTTTGCCTTCCGCAGTTGATCTACTAAGGTGCCTATCAGTGGTAGAGGGTACCTATTCTTCTTTGTGATCTTGTTCAGAGCTCGATAGTCGACGCAGAGTCGTAAGGTACCATGCTTTTTCTTGGCAAACAAGACAGGAGCTCCTGCAGGGGAACTGGAGGATCATATGAATCCCTTGCCCAACATCTCGTCAATGTACTCCTTAAGAGATTTCAGCTCCTTCTCAGACATGTTGTAAAGCTTCCCTATGGGAGGTATCACATCCCCTTCCATTTTGATTTTGATATTGTAAGGTCGATGCGGAGGTAGTGTCCTTGCTTCTCCTGGTGAGAATACATCCAGGTAGTCCTGGTATTGGATGGGAATGGATTTCTTTAACTCCTCCGTGTTGAGCATACTGAACACTTTCTACATACATTACACCGCGCCTCATCACTCCTAGTTATCACTGTAGTAACTTACTTAGTGTACAAAGTACTTACAGACTTCATTTCTTAGTTTTACAACTTATAACTTAGTTATTTCTTTAGTGATACTGTAGTTAGTTAGTTTTCATAGGTGCGCACAATTGTGGACACCTATTATCACGCCTCATGTGTTTCTAGTACATACAAGACCAAACAAACCTGTATTCCTACTATAGTTGAAAGATACAAATCAATCCTCACTCTATATTGACTTCTGTCATATCTACAGTGTTTATTGGAGTACTGAGCAACTATAAGGCTTGTAGTCCAACCTACTAGTCTTGTATTAAGGCATAGACAATCTGTGTACTGAGCTGGGTGGCATACTGCTTGGGTTAGCTGAAGGGCGCTCCAGTGTGTTTCAACTTCAACAAGTGCAATCTCCTTCAACATAAAAGACAATAAGGAGAGACTAGAACAAAAGGGTATGTGTAGCGAGAAAGAACAATAAGAGTAAGATTACAATAAGAGTGGATCTTCGGAGTACCGAGCGGCGGAATGGAGGACCGCGGCATGCACTTGACACTTTTTCCTGGTTCAGAATGCGGAAAAACCTTCAGAAGCCAATATGACTGTAGATAGAGAGCTGTTAATAACTGGAAACAATATGTGTTATAATAGTTGCTGCTTCGTTGTTCAATATTTAGCCATTTTTTTTCAGAAATCTATATGTGTAAATGCTAGTGGTTATCTATTCCTTTCTTTTAGCCACTACTATGACTATGCTGCATTACCTTCAGCTACATTCAACTTTTGACTGAAGTTTGTTCCATGTCGGTCGTGTATTTCAGTTGCAGATGGCTTGTCAATTTTTTTGCAGGATGCAGCTACTGTACTTGCGTCCATCTAGAACTGTTATCCAACTCTTCCTTGATAAAAAGACCTGCCTCATCTTGGTAATTTGATATACGAATACTAAGTCACGATACAGGAGTTCATGGAATAAGTTCACGCTTTTCATGCTTCAGCTTCGCTCGTGCTACTTGGGCTTGTACCAGAGCAGTTCATCCCATCATCCCAATGACAGTTGTGTCGCGCCTTGCTGTTTGGCTTGGTTGAGGTACAGTATCCTGGGACCCCTCTAGATGCCTTGCAGGACAGATGTGCTCCTGCTGACACTTCAACAACTCCTCCATGCATGCAGGCACAGCCTTTTGTGCAATTTGCTTTGATTGTGCCTGGACTGAATGGTGAAGATGCCTTGGGGGCTCAAAAACAAGGGAAAACCAAGAGAAAATGGTGCTTCTGTTGAATACTACATCGTGAAAACAAGGATTTCAAATGATTGAAAATGCACCTCTGATCCCGGAGCGTATTATAAATGTATTACGGCGCTGTTTTAGATGATGAATTCACAATATGAAATTTTTTGGCAGTGTGTAAAGCTATCAATTGAAGTTGGAAGCGAGCTGCTTGTCAAAAATGGTAGTAGTAGTGGTGCTGAATTTGCAGCAAACTCACCTTGTAATAGAGGTGGCACATTTGTGAGTTTTCAAGGGCAGGGACACTCATTGATGAGTATTTCTGTGGCTGTTGCATTTGCTCTTGGTACTTGACAGCTAAGTTGAAGCAGTCAAACAAAGAAAAGTGTGGAATGAGCAATTAGGCCTGACAAGACTCAACCCAATGACACGACTTCAGCCCGCACCAGAGAAGTTGGTTGAACATAGGGGAAGAAATGGAGAGGTGGAGATGCAATTGCGAGGTGAGGTTTGCAAACACTTTCAGTACAAATATTGGTGTGGACAAAGCTCAGCACAAAAACAAGGTCAATTTCTCAGTCAACGATAAAGTATTTGTATTCATTCCCTTCAAGATATACTGGTGTACTAGTGTACAACATATGTACATACCATAGCATACAAGCAACGACAACAAGAAATTTTACGATATTGCAAATAACCAATGATAGATTTCAGTTCGCACATATAATCAGTAGCAACGAATTTCAGCAATCAAGATGAAGAGCGCATAATTGACTGATATGCGGTCTGCATGCACCTGTCATGAGATGAATATACGAGATACCGCAGGGAAACACTTGCGTACATGTCAGAGAGTAATGCTTGGAGCAGCTGCATATGTTAAAGTCATGACTGAAAACAAAGTGACCAGACTGGGGATTGAACCCAGGACCTTCTGGTTACATTCCAGATGCTCTAACCAACTGAGCTATCCGACCTTGGTTCAACTAATGAGGACTTTACATATGGTAACAGTGGCCATCCAATCAACACTTCTTAAGGACTTACTATCTTCTTTTGCCTTGGTTGATGGAATTTTGCATAATTGTCAAGTCCATGCCGCGGGCCTCCATTCCGCCGTTCGGTATTCCGAAGATCCATTCCTTATTGTAATCTCGTCCTATTGTTCTTTCTCGCTACACATATCCTTTCGTTCTAGTCTCTCATTATTGTCTTTTACTCTTTCGTTCTAGTCTCTCCTTATTGTCTTTTACTCTACCCTGCAGGTATTACTCGTATAGCTCCTAGTAGTTAGTCTGGCGCTCCGCACCGATGCGCCGTTCCGTAGATATAAATACTGCCTGTACGCTACTGTAGTTCCTCAGTTTAATTATCAACTTAGATCAACTTAGATCTCCCTTTCCATCTTAACCCTTCTCTAAGTCTTCAGGCTCTACGCCTTGGAGTACTCTCTACTATACCTTAGGAACTGAACGTTCTTTGATCCGCTCCTCGTCATTGGCGATCCCGCCGCTCCGACCTGGCTGCTACTTAGCTCCTCTATCTCTACTCTCGCTCTCTGGGGACTAACGGCGTAACGGCGGTGTTGTTAATAACTTCACTACTGTCCCACTCGTCTTCCGCACTTCGACACCTTGTAGCTTTGGCACGGTTACACGGTGTACATGATCTTAACAATAATACCATTTACACCTCATCAGGGTGTCAGGATTGAATCCTAACAGCATAAACATTGAGTGCAGCCTTGAGTAGATCAGATTCAGTGTGCGACAAATCCCAGTTGAGAACAACTAGAAATTGCTCTACGATGTTGTTAATGTCTTGGAGGCTAAAGACCTCAGCAGCGCTGACCCAATGATTGTTGGGGATAGCGCTGTCTGTGGAATACTGAGGGTATGGTCCATCAGGAATTCTTTAAGTAACAGTAGTACACATACCTTTGCACTGAGAATAAGTGCTCCTAAAAACACTCTTTCCGCAACGAATTTTGCATGGTCTCCAATTACAATATCATGGCTCGCTCTTTTTAGATAAATAATTGCGAGAATTATGGTAGACATCGATACTCCTGCTCGGCGTATAATTCTTTTGATAAGTGAAGAGAAAAAAATGCCGATGCTTGAGGGACGATAAAGCAATTTTGTCATGCCCGCATCGACAACTTCAAAAGTAAGTGATTTTAGGTATTCTAAGAACATTATCACTAATAAGCATGTGTAACGCGGTGCTTCAAATAAGAGCCACTTGCCAATGATATGTTCATCGATTGTTGCATTCAAAACTTTGTCGAGGAATGTGTCAACCGGGACATACTCATATTTGCCGTCAGGAGAATTTTCAGTGGAATGGGTAGGACTTTCAGTGAGATAGGTAGAAGTAGCCATTGTTGAAGTTGGAGTGAAGAAGAAAAGAAGGTACTCATCTTTTTATGTGTGGAAGGAGATATAGGAGATGTATTTTCGTCGTTGGTATAAGCTCAAATGAGGTATAGAACAACTTTGTACTGGTATGGCCGTATAGTCAAAAGAGGCTAATTTTTTGACAAATTGAGGATGCCTTGATCAAGATTTGCATTGAGTAGAATGCCAGTAGGAAACGTATTCACTTTTGAGGTGCGATCTGGTGTGATGTAGATGTAGAAGTTGATGGCAAATGTTGTTCACGTGCTGATGATTTGTCCACAGTAGCCCACAAGGCGTACATTTCAGACTTTCCTTATTGGAGTGTCGCAGATTTACAGTACACGTTAGTGTTGCTTTTAATAAGTTGCTGCTGATGTTGACTGCATCCAGAAATTATGATTAATGAAGGGCTGAATTTTGGACATTTTCAAGCGGATCAAAAGGCAGCAGATGAGTATTAGCGAAAAAGGCTAATATACGCTGCAGTTTCAGGGATCACTTCTAAGATGGACCAAACTTTTAGGGTGTTTCTCAGATTTTCTTGCAGGCAAACCATACATACATACGTGGTTGAAGAAGAAGTCGAATGTGATGCTACTGAATTAGTGTATGTATGATCATCTTTTGGCAATAAAAACTTCGAGCACAAGTTGAAATGTAATTAAGGTGCTAGGACCAGGATGTTGGTCAATGTAATGAGAATCTTTGTTGTTAGGAACAGCACGATGTTGCAGAAACATTTGCGATTGGCTATGCTTCTAACTAACATTGTATGTTTGCTCTCTGAAGATTCGTATTTGCACAGTATCCAGTGGGTCAATCACAAAATATTCCCTTGGCATAATTATAACAGGTTGGAAGGTATAAACTGATAGTTGATATTGTGGACAACGCTGTACGTGTCAATGGCCAATAATGTTTCATTGTGACCAAAATGTTTTAAGCTGTGTCTCGAACTCGGCTGGAGTCATTTGGACCAAAGCCAAGATGCTGTATAAAGTTCATTTCCACTCCAGCTCCAACTCTTTGCCATTAACATCAACACGAAGCACCTCCTGGGATCCTTCCCGAGTTAAGACTATGTAAGTTGGGTGGAGTTCCTAGGGTAGACCCGGATATAATTTGGGGTGGTGAGAACTCGACTTGGCCATCCGAACGGTTCTGAGGTTTATGACTGGAAGAACTGACAGCAGGTTGAACGTGAGGAAGAGATGAAGTAGGAAAGCTTAGGAGGAGTACTACAGTGCGATAGTTTGCTTGTACATCGATCAGATGGTCAGACCGTGTTGAGACTTCAGGTCCAAGATGAGGAACTTATTTGTTGAGAACTGAAAATCTCTTGAAATTGTACCTGGCGTAAGATTTGAGAGCATAAGGACTAGGAAAATTTTCAATGTACTCGAATATACCCAGAAGAATACAGTAAGATTAGAAAGAAGATGTGTGAAACATTTCAAGGCGCATCTATATAAGTAAACAAATAATCTGCTCAATGGTTGACCTTGGTAGTCCCTACCAACTAGGAGTAGGTACATTCATCCGTATCATATAGGATAGAAGCTGCACTGCGACCGAATCTGGCGCCAAGGGAGTTGCACTGCTCAATCCAAGGATGGAAGAAGGACCTCCGTTGAAGAAAGCCCTAGTCATATGGAACGGACATTCTTGAAATGATTCAGGTGGGAGATATCTGAGGGTGTACCAAAGCTTTAACTCGTCCAACAAGCTGCAATTTGTGAGGGCAGCCACAGCCAGCTTGGTTTGCTCGATTAACACATCAAGGTTGCACCAAGTTCGCTGTAACCAGCGCGACACTAGCCTGAGAACAAGCAGTGCATGAGGAGGCAAGAAGAGAGGCTGTACTGAGCGACTTAAGTTCAATAGATGTTATGTTGAAGGAGATTGCACTTGTTGAAGTTGAAACACACTGGAGCGCCCTTCAGCTAACCCAAGCAGTATGCCACCCAGCTCAGTACACAGATTGTCAATGCCTTAATACAAGACTAGTAGGTTGGACTACAAGCCTTATAGTTGCTCAGTACTCCAATAAACACTGTAGATATGACAGAAGTCAATGTAGAGTGAGGATTGATTTGTATCTTTCAACTATAGTAGGAATACAGGTTTGTTTGGTCTTGTATGTACTAAAAACGCATGAGGCGTGATAATGGGTGTCCACAATTGTGCGCACCTATGAAAACTAACTAACTACAGTAACACTAAAGAAATAGCTAAGTTATGAGTTGTAAAACTAAGAAATGAAGTCTGTAAGTACTTTGTACACTAAGTAACTCACTACAGTGATAACTAGGAGTGATGAGGCGCTGTGTAATGTATGTAGAAAGTGTTCTATCACTACAGTATGCTCAACAGAATCTGAGGTTAGGCCTGTACAGATGAAAGGAGGACCTGGAGGGTGATGTTGAAGCTATCAGAGCTGTGGAAGAAAGCCAGTGTTCTCACCCAAATCACCAAAGTGGCAGGAGATGGTGGTGGTAAGAGAGAAAGGAAGAGCTGATGGGATCACATGATTCTGACCTTTTTCACATAGGCCTCTGCTCAGAAACTCTGGCACCTGACTGAAACAGAACACATGATCAACACATCACCTGATCCAACTGGCCCCATGTGAGGTGCTCCCTGTACACATCTGAGAACAGAAGTGAGGTGTGACCTGTACACATCTGAGAACAGAAGTGAGGTGTGACCTGTACACATGTTGAGAAGTGAGGTCTGGCCTGTACACAACTGAAGAAGTAAGGTGGAAACACCTGTACACAACTGAAGAGGAACACAGCCTGTACACTTCTGTAAAAAAATCAGGTGGAACCTGTACACATCTGAGGGTGAGACCCTGTACAGAAGTGAGGTAAAACCTGGAGAGAGAGAGATAAATCTGTACACAGCTGAAAAGTGAGGTTGTGGAGAAACCTGTACACATTTTCAAAAGTGAGGAATATCTGTAGAGTTTTTGGTGAGAGGCAGCAACTGAATATTTATGTACCTGTCAGAAGTGAGGAGGAGGCCTCCTGTACACTTCCAAGGTACTGAATGGAAGATTCAGTTGCTGGTGGGGATCTGTTGGTTTGCAGAGGCCTCCAGAAACGCTCCCTACCCTTGGAATCTGCCTTCATGTCAACCTGGTTTTAAGCCTTGGCTTATAAATGGAACATTGGCCGAGAAGCAGCTTGCGGACCCTCGGACATTTTGCATTGCCCAGCCTGTGAAAGAAGGCTTCTGGACAAGGCATCTAAGGTACATTATAATTTTTTCATGGTGTTGCATTTCGAGCCCTCTGACCTTGTGAAAGAGCAATAGGTATCAGTTTTCTATGTCTTCTTGCATGGGATATGGGACTTGCTTTCACACATGCTCAAGAGAGTGAGTTTCTCTATCATGAAGTGTCTGAGCTAAGTAATATGGTTCTTGTAGAAATCGAGGCTGAAGGGATCGCTTGCGTGGGTAGATACAACAGGAACAGATGTTGGGCACCAGTTCCGCAAACCGAGGAATATTGCGCTATGATATCACTATGCATGAATCAATCATGGATGAGCGTAGGATTCACCCGCATTGCAGTGGCAACACTCGCTGAAACGTTGAATTCTTTCTTCAAAGCTGTTGCCATAAAAACCATGGTGAGGAGGCACATTATACATAACGGATTTCTAACTCACTTCATGCAATAATCACTCCTCATCACAGATCTGGATCATGGTACTTGGAATTGCCTATTTCTTCATGAGAGCTCCGCGAACTTGAGCTTCAATGGACTTTCATGGCTAACGGAACCACTGTAACAGCTTACAAATCTTGTCTCAGTTATGAAATATAGATACGATGAGTTCTCTTTACTCATGATATGGTACCGTCCAGTACTCTGTTTCGAAGAAGGACGTGGCATTGTATTATATCAGATTCATCTCACTTAAGCTTGCGCTCGATTGCGCGAACACAAAAACCCAAGAACTTGATGATATTTAGTATGGCCCGATTCGGCAGCCCAAACCAAGCCAGGCTAAGCCGAGTCAAGCTGAGAAATTGGATCAGTAATTTATCTGAAATACTCAAAACAAACTCGTTTCAGTCACGCAATAAAGTTTGCATAATGTTTCCTTCAGTTGGCAAGGATATCTTGAAATTATCTATTTAGCTGTAGTGTATGCTTATCTGAATTCCATGGTCTAGTTTGTGTATTGTTTGCAGAAACTCAACATCTGATTTACCTAATATATCCTACATATCATGATGATACCAAAACCTTATTGTCCACCTATTTTGGTAAGTTCATTGTAATCAGGCATGTAAAATTACCAAAATTGTAAGATTTCTGCGGCAAATTATGCAAACGTTTTTGTGACAAAACATCACAATAGGTCAACAATATCTTTCACAGTAAAACATGGCCCTTCTTAGAACATTACCAGTCAAAAATTGTTTTCCCAATTAGGATAAATTTTGACAAACAATAAGGTAAGTGGCAAAAATTACGCTCCAATATTTGGAGTTTCTACAAAGTAAGCTCACAACAGACGAGCTGAAATTATGGTAGCCTGCACCCTGTGTCTAGATACTACATATATAACACAGGAGAATCAACTGCTAATATTGTTAGGATTCAATCCTGACACCCTGATGAGGTGTAAATGGTATTATGCAAAATTCCATCAACCAAGGCAAAAGAAGATAGTAAGTCCTTAAGAAGTGTTGATTGAATGGCCACTGTTACCATATGTAAAGTCCTCATTAGTTGAACCAAGGTCGGATAGCTCAGTTGGTTAGAGCATCTGGAATATAACCAGAAGGTCCTGGGTTCAATCCCCAGTCTGGTCACTTTGTTTTCAGTCATGACTTTAACAAATATAATATATGAATATTTATGTAAAATACCTTCGTGCTAGTTATTGCAGCTCCAATAAATATCTTGTGTTCTACCCAATGTAACCTCGGTTGAACATGAACATAATGCCTGACTCTCTGCAGATACAGCAAGAAAGGCAACACAACAGACATTGACAGATGACCTTGCTGCACAATTGATTCGATGAAGTAGAAGAACAAGATCGACAGCACATGAGGATAGGAGTCACAAGCTTCATCGATGATTTCATATATCACCATTGCTATATATCCTAGATAATATTTTCTGACATCAATCTTCATTTGAAAAAATGCATTCAGATAATGTTCAACATACTGATGACTTTCTGCAACACTCCAATACTGATAACCCACAGTATTGGCACTGTTACTTTTAACAAGTTGTAACCAAAGACGTTGGATGACATCTGAGAAAAAGAAGCAAAATGTTCTACACTCACAGTGCTATGTATAAGTATTATTTCAACTGGACTGGGTTGTCGGACAATCACAATAGATAACGAGAAATTGGAACCTTGATTAGAAGCAATCATTCAAAGCTTATACTGTATTACCCCTGAATATTCTATTGCATTATGCACTTTGTGCATTCTTAGTATCCACGCAGTACAGCTTCCATATGCATTCCAAACACCTGCTTTCGTCTGCAACGTAAATGTGTCAATAGCAATTACTGCTCCTAAAGCCTATTAGTATATATCCTTAGTACTCAAACACCACCAAGCAGTTGGTAACTTAACAATCAAGGCATATCTTTACCATAATGGAAATTTTATCAATATTGCACAGAAATTGAGACTCAGCAATTTGCATCTTGATACAAGAATTTCCACATAAATCCTGAGTTCAGTGGCAAAGGTGAACCCCGATCCAATACTCTAAAACACCTGTACTGCAAGCACATTCTGACACTTTCTGCTTTCTGCTTCTGTTTAAGCTGATATGATTGACCATCTACTTTTATAACTGTTGAGCATACTGTAGTGATAGAACACTTTCTACATGCATTACACAATGCCTCATCACTTCTAGTTATCACTGTAGTGACTTACTTAGTGTACAAAGTACTTACAGACTTCATTTCTTAGTTTTACAACTCATAACTTAGCTATTTCTTTAGTAATACTGTAGTTAGTTAGTTTTCATAGGTGCACACAATTGTGGACACCCATTATCATGCCTCATGTGTTTCTAGTACATACAAGACCAAACAAACCTGTATTCCTACTACAGTTGAAAGATACAAATCAATACTCACTTTACATTGATTCTCTTCATTGTTATTGTGTTTGTTGGAGTACTAAGCAACTATAAGGCTTGTAGTCCAACATACTAGTCTTGTATTAAGGCATTGACATTCTCTGCACTGAGCTGGGTGGCATACTGTTTGGGTTAGCTGAAGGGCACTACAGTAACATGAAAATATATATAGTTACTCGAACAACTGCAAGCAAAACATCAATATAAACATCAATACAAATGTCAGCTTGCAGACTATGAACATATCTAGATGATACTTAGCTGGCTGATTGGGATTGTAAATGCTAGTATCTTTGAATGTGATGAGTATGATATATCATCTGTAATTGGCTCTTTTGACACAAGATACACATTCAGGACATAGGTGACTGAAAACATTGTCAGAGCTATCTCGCCATTCCTCCTGACTCCTGATAATCTGATTTGAATTGAACAACATTGGAAGTCTCTGACATCCAACCAATCCCTTTGACAAATATGTTGAAATGACGCAATGTGAGTAATCTGAACAATTTATTGTCAGTAGGAGAAAAATATTCAGACAACAATACTCACGTAATACCCAGTCTCTGCTGTTTTCCACATGAAGAATCCTCCATATACAAATGACCAGTAGAAGTAACAACTGCTGTAAAACCAAACTGACAGCCTCTTCAGAGCCAAAAATAGCAATAGAATATTCAATATCAGATGAGCTTCATGCTTGAACAGATACAAATCTTCAACAAATATGTTAACCTAACAGTGATAAAATAAAACAACAACACTCACCTGCACTCAAAAGGACAAGTTTGTCAACATGAAGGTGGATTCCAAGGATAAGGAGCATTTCTGGAGGCCTCTGCAAACCAACAGAAGCCCACCAGCAACTGAATCTTCTATTCAGTACCTTGGAAGTGTACAGGAGACCTCGTCCTCACTTCTGACAGGTACATAAATATTCACTTGCTTCCTCTCACCAAAGAACTCTACAGATATTCCTCGCTTCTGAAAATCTGTACAGGTTTCTCCACAACCTCACTTTTGAGCTGTGTACAGATTTATCTCTCTCCAGGTTTTACCTTACTTCTGTACAGGGTCTCACCCTCAGATGTGTATAGGTTCCACCTAATTTTTACAGAAGTGTACAGGCTATGTTCCTCACCTCTTCAGTTGTGTACAGGCTAGACCTCACTTCTCAACATGTGTACAGGTTACACTTCACTTCTGTTCTTAGATGTGTACAGGTAGCACCTCACGGCCAGTTGGATCAGGTGATGTGTTGATCATGTGTTCTGTTTCAGTCAGGTGCCAGAGTTTCTGAGCAGAGGCCTGTGTGAAAAAGGTCAGAATCATGTGATCCCTTCAGCTCTTCCTTTCTCTCTTACCACCACCATCTCCTGCCACTTTGGTGATTTGGGTGAGAACACTGGCTTTCTTCCACAGCTTTGATAGCTTCAACATCACCCTCCAGGTTATCCTTATATTTGTACAGGCCTAGCCTCAGATTCAAGGACCTGCCATAGCTCTGACAACTTTAATATCATTTTTCCTTGTCTTTTGTATATAAATTAGAGGTCTGGGGTCTCAGTGTGTCTATGATATCTTTTATGAGTGCTTTACATGGTTTTCAACTGATGTTTGGGCAGATCTAGATTGATCCCCTCCTCTCCCACATCACATTTTTACTTTCAACTATTTCATTCTACTCTAACCTTGTTATTTTATTTTTACTTAGACTTCTTTTTTCATTTATGTTGTCTACCATACCATACCCTTCCTGTAGGGCCCTGCATGATGCATTCAATTTAATGGGGCTTTGGTCCAGTTCATGGCTAAACACTTCCTATGGGTGAAAATAGACATAGTTCCGAAGCTACTGAAAGCATATTTGAACATGGAGGAATTACATCTGATGAGGCTAAAGTAAGATTAGCTTTAGAATGGATTTCTTATAAAACAAGACAAGCATTGAAAGTCTTTGATTCGGTGAAGAAACCGAATTGGGATCAATTTAAAAAGGATCTTAAGAATATGTTTCTGCAATCTGTTGGGGATGAACAAGGATCTAGATTATTGCTTGAACAATTGGTTCATCAATTTAATCCAGTTGATGCAGGTGAACAGGAGAAGATGAGAATCTTCAGACTTCTCTTCGATGCCAAAATGAAAAAGTTAATGGATGAACCAAAAATGATCATGAATAGTGATGCAGTAAGATTGTTCTTGGCACCTATGACTCCCAAAGTAAGGAGAGGCATGCTAGAGACAGTTGTGAAAGAAGTATCAGTTACTTCTATGTCAGATCAACGAAAGGAAGACGCTTTCAAGATTGATGAAGTAATGAATGCGGCTGAGAAGTATATGATTGGGAGTTTATTTGATAACTACTATCAAACACTTTCCAGTGCTTTTTCGAGCCCACCAATTGATAACCCTAATTCATTTAGTAGGGGACACATTAACTTGCTGTTTGCTGCAGATGTTCCTAAGACAGATAGAAACTATCTTCATGTTAGGATTGATGACTAATTCCAATCCTGTTAAGATCATGTACACCGTGTAACCGTGCCAAAGCTACAAGGTGTCGAAGTGTGGAAGACGAGTGGGACAGTAGTGAAGTTATTAACAACACCGCCGTTACGCCGTTAGTCCCCGGAGAGCGAGAGTAGAGAGAGAGGAGCTAAGTAGCAGCCAGGTCGGAGCGGCGGTATCGCCGATGACGAGGAGCGAACCAGAGGACGTTAAAGTCCTAAGGTCGAGGAGAACGTACTTCAAGGCGTTGAGCCTGAAGACTTAGAGAAGAGTCAAGTTGAGAAGGGAGATCTAAGTTGATCTAAGTTGATAATTAAACTGAGGAACTACAGTAGCGTACAGGCAGTATTTATATCTACGGAACGGCGCATCGGTGCGGAGCGCCAGACTAACTACTAGGAGCTATACGAGTAGTACCTGCAGGGTAGAGTAAAAGACAATAAGGAGAGACTAGAACGAAAGAGTAAAAGACAATAATGAGAGACTAGAACGAAAGGATATGTGTAGCGAGAAAGAACAATAGGAAGAGATTACAATAAGGAATGGATCTTCGGAATACCGAACGGCGGAATGGAGGCCCGCGGCATGGACTTGACACAGATGCTCTAACCAACTGAGCTACCGGGCCTTGGTTCAACTAATGAGGCTTATGCATATGGTGACACTGACAGTCCATTCAACACTTTTAGGTCTTACACTGTCTTCTGCCTTGGATGATATGGATATGTATACTCAGCATTTGCTGCTCATCAGGGTGTCAGGATTGAATCCCAACACACCCTCCCAATCTGACACACTTATGTAATCAATCATCCCCGAGGCTAGCGCTCCGGGGCCCATAACCTGTTGAAGGAGATTGCACTTGTTGAAGTTGAAACACACTGGAGCGCCCTTCAGCTAACCCAAGCAGTATGCCACCCAGCTCAGTGCAGAGAATGTCAATGCCTTAATACAAGCTCAGTAGGTTGTGCTACAGAGTCTTGTAGTTGCTCAGTACTCCAATAAACACAGTAACAATGACCAAAGTCAATATAGTATGAGTATTGATTTGTATCTTTCAACTATAGTAGGAATACAGGTTTGTTTGGTCTTGTATGTACTAGAAACGCATGAGGCGTGATAATAGGTGTCCACAATTGTGCGCACCTATGAAAACTAACTAACTACAGTAACACTAAAGAAATAGCTAAGTTATGAGTTGTAAAACTAAGTAATGATGTCTGTAAGTACTTTATACACTAAGTAAGTCACTACAGTGATAACTAGGAGTGATGAAGCGCTGTGTAATGTATGTAGAAAGTGTTCTATCACTACAGTATGCTCAACAGAGCTAACTTGGGCAAGAAGGCTATGGAGAGAGGAGAGTAGGGGATAATGGGAAAGGATTAGGGCTGGGGATGAATAGTGAGAGGAACTCCGAAGAAAATACTTTCTTCACCACAGCCCAATCCTTTGCCCCATTCTCCGACTCTATCTCTGCTATCGGTCAACCACGTCGCCGTAATCGCAGTTTCGGTCCAGCCACAGTTCCTACTACGTCGACTCTTCCCGAGGCCATGGAAGAAGATCAACAATTCGAATACAGTACTCTGTATACCGGTGATGGACAACCTGTCCAAGTCTTGACCCCTCGCCGTGGACAACCCCCTGTGGTCGCTCCGGCTCGGGGCCGGTCTACTACTCGAATTGAGTCTCCCATCCTCCAAGCCATAGCTCGTCGTACTGGGAAACAACCCCAACGTTGTGCTGCTTCTGAATCTCCTCGTAACCCACCTCCTCACTTCGATCTGGATACCGGTGATCACGACGATCAAGACCCTCCTGTCGACCCCGACGATCCGGGCACAGACAACAATCACGACAATCTGGACGACGACTCCGGCGGTTTACCGCGTGGTGAGCCTGGTGACCCCAGTGGACCTGGCGGTCCCGGCGGTCCTGGCGGACCTGGTGGACCTCGTTCCCCACTCCCTCCTGACATCCCCAACGAGCAACGTGCTATGCTGGAACTTCTCTTGGGATTCAAGGGTTCCATTGAAACCCTCGGTACCATTCTCGCCGCACTCAGCCGTCCCTCTGACAGCTCTGAATCTAAGAGCAAAGTCAAGGAGCCAGAGGTATTCGACGGTTCGGACCCCCGTAAACTCAAGACGTTCTTCGTCAATCTCGCCCTGGTCTTCAATGACCGTCCCAAGTATTTTACCGACCAGCGGAAGGTGAACTACACTCTTTCTTACCTCAGCGGATCAGCCAAAGAATGGTTTGTCCCTGATATCCTCGACCCGGATCTCGACTCGCTGCCGGCTTGGACGTCGTCCTTCAAGGCCCTTATAAAGGAGCTACAGGACAATTTCGGCGTTTACGATGCGCAAGGCGAGGCCGAAGATTCTCTTGGTAACCTGAAGATGAAGGAAACCGAGAACATCCGGAAATACAACATCCGGTTCAACACCCTGGCTGCTAGTACCAACTGGGATTCTACTGCCCTAAAATGGGCTTATGGACGAGGCCTAGCTGAACGCATCAAGGACGAAATGGCGCGTTTGCCCGAGCCGGCGACGCTCGCCGATTATCGTCAAGAGGTTCTTCGTATTGACAACTGTTATTGGAAACACGAGGAAACTAGAAAGCATGAGGCTGGTAAGCCTTTTATTGCTTTGAACCCGAAGAAGGGTTCCTCAGACTTTAAGACTGGTTCTACTAACCAGCAAAACAATTCTCAGCCTTCGGGCTCTTTGGCGCCGTTCACGCCGAAACCTAAACCCTTCTCTGGTGGTAAGCCTAACAACAATGGTAAGCCCCAGAACTCTTCGAATTCCGGCCAATCCGGCGGTCAGCGCCCTGCGTTCAATCATCTTGGTACAGATGGTAAAGTCCTTCCCTCTGAAAGGGAAAGAAGGATGAAGAACAACCTTTGTCTCTTCTGCGGTGGTAAGCATCAGATTGCTGACTGCAATAAGCGAAAGGCCCGAGAATCGAAGGGCCGTGCTGCCGAGGTTGAAGAAACCCCCGAAGCAACCATTGAGGTTGTTGAAGAGGAATCAGAAAACTAGTCCGCAGCTCTTGTTCCCCGGTACGAAACGGGAGCTGCGTTGATCAGGTCCGTACCTCACCTGGGGAGTTATATCTCAACGCGTCCGCTCTTTCCTCTATTGAACGATCTCTTGTAATATCATTACACTACATGGAATACATCATTTGAACACGGTTGCGAGGCTGGGATAATACTGATCAAAGGAACAATTTGATCTACATTTTCCGTATTTTAAAATATAGTGAATTGTTAGACTTTCCTTACCAAGAACTGACTGAGATAAATGTTGGCAAAATCCTCCCTTAAACTGAGTGATAAATGTTGGATTAATTGGTGCAAAAAAAATTAAACAATGCACACAATAATCCTGATCAGAGAACTGTGCAAAAAAATTATCATATCCTTGTCTTTTCTCGCTATGAAAAAGTTGATTTCTGTTTGAAAAATCCCACTGAGAAAATCTGTGCCGATATCGTGACGTCGGGACGCCGTGATATCGAGACATCGAAATATCTTTATGCGTGACGTCGTCAACATGGTGAAATCGGAAAGGCCATTGGTAGAGACAATCGGCACGTCGGAAGGTTCAATTTGTCTCAAAGAACCTAGTTTTTCTTCACATATCTAACTCTATTCAAGACTACTCATTTTATGGTTGGTAAACAGTAGCAATAATGGACACAATAATAGGCATAATGATTTGTTCCGCTGCATCCCTCCGGCCCTTGAAAATGAACTTTTCCACATGAATCTTTTGGCCTGCCAAATCTACTTGGTAGGTGGTGAACTTGAGATGATGAACTGTAGACGTACAAGCACAACGTATCCGGGGATGCGAGTCACAGGTGGCCTCTAAAGCAATATGGACCAGGCGTTCTGTATGAGTTATTGTCAGTATGAAACTGATTATTATACCACATGCTGACCAGTTCTATGAGCAAATGGTGTCCAAAAGGCAGCTAGCCATGTTTGAGGATGTGCGCGGCAGGCACGTTTCCATTCGCGAGCGCGACGCGCGACGTTGTTAGACCGTCCGACCTTATAAACAAAACAGCCCTCACGAAAAACGTAGATCCAACCGCCGCCATCAGCGGAACTCAAGGGTTGATGTATGATTATATCCCACTTGAGCCAAAGGCCAGATGGTGGGAGTGGGCTGGAAGCAGAGGGGTTCAAAAATACAGGAGTGGGTAGTGAGAGAGAGGGGGGTTGAGTGATACATACTGGTGAAATGTTGGGAAAAGTATCTTGCTTTGTGGATCAGGAAAGCAATGGAAATAGCTCAAGAAAGACTGGAAGAGAATGTCAGTGACAGAGAGCAAAATATGAAGTTGTACTCACATCATTCATGATCAAGGGTACAAGCATACTATTCATCCTAATCCCAAAACCAGTCCAAGAATGGACATATCTTGGTGAAGCTAGCTGGGAAGTGGAGTTGAACAAGGTGGGTGAAAGGCCATGAAAAGCCATAGACACATTGGGCACCATAACAGTGTTGACATAGCCAGGAAAACACTGAAAAAGGGTCTTGAGTTATAATCATAGAAAGAGAATCAGAACTCACAGGATTGAAGCCTTCAATACTTGGTATATATATTTGGGATTCTGCTTCAACTCTTCCAACAGTGTGCTGTTCAGCTATAAGCTGTAGTGCAGAATGAGATAATCTTGAAGACCTGTCAATACAGGGAGGCTGCACTGGATGTGGGGAAGCTCTAGAAGAGACAAGAGAAGCCAGAAGGAGGATGCAGGACAAGCACATAACTGGGTAGTTGGGCATCCTTTGATGAGAGCACATGTTTCCATCAGTACCCATGACTCAACAACAAGCCATCGCAGACGACGTCGAGAGTGATCACAATCGGTCACTCTGGATTCGCCATACGACGAATCGTAGGCTTGAACGAATCGTAGGCTTAAACGAATCGCCGTACGACGAATCGTAGGCTTAAATGAATCGCCGTACGACGAATCGTAGGCTTGAATGAATCGCCGTACAACGAATCGTAGGCTTGAACGAATCGCCGTACAACAAATTGTAGGCTTAAATGAATCGCCGTACGACGAATCGTGTTTTTAAAGAAGTCGGCGTGCGACTCGACCTCGTCCACGTCATTGTCTATCTGTAGCGGCTGGCCCCCGCGAGTGTGAGCCCCCCCACCCCGGCCACCGCCCAAAGAAAACTGTTTGAACCTTAGCTGGGCCGCTTCTAGAAATTTGAGAACACTATTTGTTTTGCGTGGCCACCTTCTGATTCAGTCTCTGAGCAAAGTTCATATGAGTGCATGCGGTTTCTGAAGGTATTTGATTCGAAGTAAATTAAATAATCATCTCTTGCTATCTGATCTCTGTATACTCATGAATCCCTCGCAATACCTTTGGGCTTTACCCAGAACATGCAAGCTCCGCCAATCACATACATGCATTGTTGAAGTGGAGGTCGTTGTCCTAGATGACTGCTACTTCTTCGCATCAGTTTGTGTTTCGTGGGAGGGTTTTGGTTGAAAACTTACCGCATTCCCGGAATTCTTTATTGAAAGCAGAGTAGTCAGTTTTATGAGGAAATGAACGACGAAAATAGAAACTTTACTGCCTCTCACGTGTGATACGTGGACGAGTGATGAATCGTTCTCCATAAGCATTGATGAGAGAGGATGAGGAGGCGACTTCGATGGAGGTAGACAGCGTATGAGGCAAGGCGAGAGCAGATTAAAGCTGGGTAGATTGAATGCCAGGAACGTGCAAGAGAATGGGTATAGGATGGTAAAATATTGCTTGGACATGAGGTTGTTGACAAGACCGTGCCTACAGGTCAATAGCTATAGAGGTTCTGAGGCCGGATCTGGCCCGGGAATGGCCCGGGATAATTCCGAGGTCCGGAACTGAGTATTGGCCTGTAGTACACACTGGGAGTGGGACGTCGGTGAAGCTATTAGCAACACCCTTCACACACTGTTGTGTCCCCGGGAATATAATGGCAAGGATATAGTGTCAAGATGAGTAGCCTAGATGGTGTTCCTGTGATCCGGGAGTCCGGAGCAGCTCGGAAGCAAAGGTAAAAGAGATATTAAAGATGGGATAAGGTGGTACACTTGATTTCAAGCTTGACTACAACGTACAAAGTATTCTAGCTTATATACATCCCAAATACAGTAGTCATAAGACCTCGATGAAAGCTCGGAATAATAAATAAGTCACAAGGTAATTATTCCGAAGTCCGGCCGCTCCGGGCCGGGCCGGGAAGCGTATGGGGTGAATTGCATGCATATGACAGTTGTATGTTTGCAAGACATGCTCGATGTCATCTATGTATCCCAACAGTACGTGCATGATCGTGTACTGTGGCCGCTCGGCAAGGTATGACCGTTCCAAGGTGTTTAATCCAAAAAAATCTTAGCCAGTATGACACGTTGGTCGAAATGGCTAATTCGAGGGTCTCCTTGTGCGCCATGACCGTCCAACAAGTGCCTTCCGAGACCATCAGGACTAATTTGCCCGTATTGAGCTTGATATATATTTGTAAAGGTCAGTGACGACTGAAGAGAAGTGTTTTCTTCATTTCTTTGTGTAGGTTGCAGACGGCAATGCGAGCTTGAAGAACGACGTAGTCAAGGTGTCTTCTTGTAAGATAGGCTGCAGTTTCTGCGGCAAGCTTTTGACATAGGCGAGAGAGATCAGATGTGATTCATACCGAAAAATGCCAGAGACTGACATCTGTATTTACACCTTGATAAATACCTTGTACGACTTTTTTGGGTAGAAAGTATCAAAAGCAACACAACAAGATGCACTAAATAGGGTCCACATATTTCATGTCAAGCCCGTAACGTAGCTTATCGATGTAGGAAGTTATCTGGACAGCACAGGTAAGGAAAACCGTATCTGTGGGATAATAAACGCGTATCTTGGGGAATTGACCTTGGAAAATCTCGTTGGACTATTCGGAAAGACCTCCCTGTAGAATACGATATAGTACTCCATCCCCATCTCAGAATGGTTTTAATCTTACAGATCAGCCTCGTCAAGCCTGCGAGCCGCTTATCCATGTTCAGATACACCCCTGACACAAGATGCTCAGTCTGATGATTGGTCCAGCTGCTACTGCTGGGCTTTATACACCTCCCACACTTCTCACGGAACTAATAGGCATAGAAATTGGCAAGTTCAGTTGAGAATGGGAACTTGGGAACTTACGTTCGGTATCTGCGAGGCCACACAAAAACATTTGATATAAGTGGTATGAAGTAGCGGACTTCGGTTCTTGAAGGCAATAAAGCACGGGGAGAAGTGGCCATACATACACCGCGAGTTACTTTCTCGAGGGCTACATGCCAGTGCGAGGGATTATTTAGGCAAAGGCAAAAGAGTGAGGTGTCCATTTGAGTACAGATGACAGCCACACATAGCCCGTGTCTGCAGTGCTGTACGACTCAGCTCAGTATATGACATGGCACTTTCCGTGTACGGGTAAGCTGGGATAACAACTCGATATCCATTTCAAGGGTTGTGGTGATAATGAGGGGAGTCGTAGGTAGCGATGACCTGGTAGTTTGTGAGGAGCATTCAAAGATGCCAATGCACGAGTGAGCTCAAGTACATAGTTCGAAGGTCATGGCAGCAATGAGGTGAGTCGTAGGTAGCGATGGCTAGGTAGTTCGTGAGCATCTTTCAATGCACGAGTGATCTAAAGTACATCGTCGACATAAGTCAAGGAGCAATTGCCTGCCGGAAGAAATTATCACCGGACTCAATGTGCTGCGGCGCTGTCTCATTGAGATGCTAGAGACATCGGGTGAGAAAGAAAAGTACACTGCGACAACTTGCTTACCGAGCGATTAGGTTTCCGTCATTATAATCATCAAGTTCAATAAAGTCTGATGCGCCATATGTGGATACCCTGCGACAAGCCACATAGGAACAATGGCTTTCTGGCCCCCGAGCACAGTGCAAGGTAATCGACAAGACCCGCAAGAAGTACGCTTAGGTTTTGAAAAACGTTAGTAACACCAGAGTAGCACAAGAAATTGGGACAGAACACCGCAGTAAGCGGAAGACACTGCAAAAAACTCGTTCCAATAATGCCAGCTCTGAAAGCTCGTAAATGGCATACTGAAAGGTTTCCAGAGAAACGTCAGTGGCACTACGTGGCCCACGGAAGAGCTGCAGGAATACCACCATAGGCGGCGTTCTTGAGGCATATACTGAGATACGCATAGGGATGTCCCCATAAAAAATTATGGGAAGCTCCCCAGTGGGCGAGAGCCAGGGCATAAACATTCGACCAGCTTCATGCCAAAAAGGCTCCCAATTTTACGTAGTTCGGCACGAGAACGAAGTCCGAATAGCGAGCTGAACGAAGTCCGAATAGCGAGCTGAACGAAGTCCGAATAGCGAGCTGAACGCAGGAACATCCGGCTTCGATGAAGCTTTGCACGAGTCACCTCAGTGCAAGAATGCAGGGATACAGTGCTGGAGAATAAGGTCACGAGGTTCGTGGATCTGCACGAGGTTCGTGGATCTGCACGAGTACAGAATCTGAGTCCTTCGTTCGTAGGCTGCACTTGGAGTATCTGGAATTCTTTGCACCGAGGATAAGATCACTGAAACCTGGAACAAACGAATTGATGGTAAATTAGACAACAGAGACCAACATGTACCTGATCTCGAGAATGCCCCTTTGCAAATGTGTCCTCTTCATCCTTTACAGACGCGACCACGTTCAAGTTGGGGATCGCACGCAGTCCATGTTCTTGCAGTACTGTACGAGTGAGCTCTCAGTACATAACGTAACGCTTTCCATGTACGAGTAAGCTCAGGCAAAAGTTCGATAAACAATCCGAACGTTGTGGCGATAATGAAATGGGATCGTATGTGGCGAAAGATCAATAATTTTGGAAATGCCAGTGCATGAGTGAGCTCAAGTACATAGTACTAGCGCAGAGGTTGTTGCGATGATGAAGTGAGTCGTAGGTGGCGATCATGAAGTGAATCGTGGGTCGTTACTTTGTGAGGTGCATCCGAAGGTGCCGATGCACGAGTTAGCTCGAGTACATGATCCAAAGATTGTTGCGATATGAGGTAAGTCGTAGGTAGCGATGAGTCGGTAGTTTGGGAGTATCATTCAATGCACGAGTGAGCTCAAGTACATCGTCAACATAAGTTAAGGAGTAATCGCCTGCCGGACGAAATTCTCGCACGCGTACGGTTCAAATGGCCCGCTTTTTATTTCCCTCGACATCATAACTTCCAAATTCGTTCCTGCTCATGTACTCGAGCTCACTCATGCATGTATACTTATTTCTGAGCGCTGCGCTGACATCGCCCACCTATATCGACCCTCTTCTGACCTCATGAACAGTGAGACGAACTGCATCACTCCCATATCGAATCCGCGAAATAGGTCCAGGTGAAACATTCGATATGTGAAAATGGAATCTGCGAACTTCTGGTCGAAGTTCAGGGTGAGTGAGCTTATTAGTTCGGATCTGCTTTTGACTTGCCCGCAAATTTCTTTTCCAACTTGTCCATATGTCTTCTCCCACTTACACTCATAAATATGCGCATCAACCTGCGGACTGGCCACGCGTAAGCATTTTTTGTTTTTTCAAACTGTGGAAGTCGCAAACAAGTTTATTTCATTCTAGTCTACATATAGTGTAGCCATGGTATAATTCTCTGAGTCAAAAATAGCATCCACCACTATCATATTCTCAACAGAAAGTATGTACATAGTCGTAATATAGGAAAGTGAATCTTTGATGCCATACAGTTTCAAGATTAAGAACCTATTAAGGTGAGACCTAGCTATGCAATTGCTTTTTGGAAGGACTCTTGTCATTAACGATCTGGGATGTTTTGATTAAGTCCAATATGGGCCCAAGCCCTACAGGGATATTCTCCAAGCATCTGTCAGCTAGTTCTTGTAATTGGCTGCTGAGATTGTCAAAAGTTTCACTCGTAGCTGATTGTGAAAGTTTGTTCTGCAAATATTCAGATCTGGTTTGGATAAGGAGGCGGTTCAAGACATTTAAGTGAGTGTGCTCTGCAATATCACGTCGAATCCTTGCAGACATTTGGGATTTGAGTTCTATGGGGTTTGTCGCATCAATGAGAAAGCCCAGAGTTGTAATGGGCTCACCTTGAAGCTCCCTATGTAGGCGTTCGTTCTCTTGCTTGGCATAAGTCTTCTCATTCTTTTCGAACTGATCTACAGGGCTGTTTGTGTCCATGAAGTACTTGATACTACTGTCCACATCATTCAGCGGCTCATTGATGCTGTCAGCTCTCTGTTGGTTATCCTGCTCGACTGGCATAAGCGTAGTCTTGACCCTTGCATTCAGGTTGTGACTTTCTGACACCTGATATGGGATCTCTTCATTATTGTCGCTGTTGTGGTCTGATTCCGTTCCATGCATCTCGGTAGCAACAGGAATGTCAGCCTACAAATGATGTCAGTTCTGCCTAGAATAATGGATGATTAGATATTTACATCGTTTTCAACGTCGTCCGCTTCTTTTGCAACATTGTCCACTTCATTCTCAACCCCTTTTGATGCCAAAGCAAGTCTTTGATGGCGCCGTTCTTGGTGAAGTACAAGACATGGAGAACAGGTTTTGTAGCGGCTCCCAGGAGGAAGGATAGTACCACATCGTCCGCACAAAGTAGAAGAATGACTTTTGCGGCGCTCACGATAGGTCCTGCGACAAGCCTGACATTTTTGGTAGCTTTGATCAAGAGGAATAGGGTTGTTACAGTTCCTATTGACACAGAATCGGACAATGCTATTCTTCGACGTGTTATTCTGGTGACCATGGTGCCTCTTGCTCCTCTTGATCCTTTCTCCATGATCAGTAGACAGATTGTCCTTTGGCTCGCTGCTACTGTTATCTCGGGGATCATTTCGAGAAGTTTGAAGATCAGGAGGACACGGCTGGGAGGATTTAGACGAATCAGCTTCACTGCACGTATATAGAGCTCCTCCGCTGTTCTGCATCGCAGGGCAATTAAGATTTGTGATTGGAGAAGTCGACATATTCTGGTTACTCTATTAAAGTGTTCAGGCTTAATCTTTGGGAAAGAGAGAAACAAATATGCCTTCTCCACCACTGCAAAAAGTATGTTTCCGGGTCCAAGGCTAAGTACGGAGGAAGATGATAGCGAAGATCTCAGAGTTGGAAGCAAACCACAGTACGGCATTATCCGAATCTGGCATAAGTACTCACGGTCCTGCTACGGGCCACACAATTTTTGAAAGTTCGCCAACAATTTAACAAAGTTCAGATATCTGAAGTGAATAATCGGAGAAATCAATGTTATAAACGTTCAATCTACAGATATCTCCCTTTGTTTGATCTGATATTGTCTACAAGAACGCAACAAATATTTATGATATGTGTACACAGCACCATTGCTATATTAAGGGACCCTAGTACGCGGGGAACGCTGACGAGTACGGGACCTTGACCTGATCTTCCTGATTTGTCGACCCTGAGTGGTGGTCAAAGTACTATGAAGCACCCAGCTAGGATTTCCGGTCAAAGCCTGTAGAGTGAGTACCCGCGCTGGAATTTCAGGGTGGTGGACAAGGGCTCCGTTTAGATCTACAGGAAACCATATCTCCCGTTCACTTTGTGCCAGCCATATCCATATTTGATATCCGCTGTCTGCGATATTCCGATGAAGATAGATTGTTCCTTGCTTTGGCGGAGTGGGTGTTTCTTCGGGAGGACGATCCAAGTCGTGTGGAGCCTGACCATAATACCAGGCTGTGATACCCTGACTATCCTTAGAGTTGAAGTTAGTCGTCTCTAGCTTTGTTGGCCCAAAGGAACCATTTTCTATGTATGGTAGGTCCTTGCCCTCCATGAAATATTTCAGTGCCTTCTGAATTGGTTCAAAACTGACAGGGGTCGATTTCCTTGAAGCTAGTAGATCTGAAATCAGTACATTGACATTGACGACATTGCCATCGACGACACACATTGGAAAGGATTAGAGTATACTCACTTTGACCAGTGGTTTCAATACTCGTCGGACTCAATATCCCTTTTTTCGGAGCATCGCCAACACTGATAGATACAATCAAGAAAATTTTAGATGCAGGAGGATGGACGAAGTACAGTGGCATTTTCTTTCGATTACTATTCCTTGTATGTTTAAAGACATTGAAATTCCAGATGACTGTTTACTTACTGCAGATGTGGATCATCATAAACTTTCCTTACCATTCCAGTTTCTTCATCCTTTTTGTACCTGTAGTATTCATATGTTTGATTGCGATACCAAGTCCACTGTCGTTACCCGTCAGAAAGCTGAGAGATTAGCAACGAGCCACTTACAGTTGATCCAGGATCATGAGTAGCTAAGCCAGAGCTCGAGGTTGTATGAAACTGTAAACTGGTTTCAACGTAGTCAGGTTCCATGAACAAACCAGAGATTGTATGTTACGTAACAAAATCATGGAACAGGTAGGCGTTCGACGTCAAAGGCAATCCTACTTTGGGGTCCCTTGATCCTCTCGCAAGTTTGGCATGAACTGCGAGACTCTTGACAACGTCGTCTCAAACCGAATTAACCTTCTGGCAGGGATAGAAAGTCAATTTGATTCAAGATCTCCTCGAAAGACCTGTTGTACCATATATACTGGATATTATGACAAATGATAACATGTTTCCAGATGATTTCCATCGCCACATTCTCAGAATTCAAAGCACAAAGTACTCATGCTCGAAGCTGGCCAGCATCCTAGGCCTATTTTAGAGCAGGAAATGGTCTTCTGACATTTTGCGACCAAAAGGAGGGAGAAGAGCATTCCTTAAGCTATGAGAAGAAATGACCGGTCGTGTAATAAACTTCCTTCCTTCCTTACTTGCTAGATGGTAGCGAATATTGATAGGAAATCTGTGCTCTGTGAGGCTCTGTGTGAGTGACTGATGAAGCATTATGATAGGGATAGGATAGAATAGGATATGAATTATACTGGCGAGGTCCTAGGGTGACTTACCTGACAGCTCAATCGATTGCTTCCTTCCTCTGTCGCGTTCTTGCGGAGAGGAAGCAATTCAACAAATTCAAATCACAAAGAATGCAATACCGATGTCACCCTTGTAGATCACATCCCAGGATGGGATTACCAATACACGACCGCGAGAAATCTTGTCGCACGGTTCCGCGACGAAATCAACCCTCAACTATTTCACAAGACATTAGGCTATGTGCGACTGTATACAACTTATCTCACTGCGATAGCTGGAGCTTACAAAGGATGGGGCTGTTTATAGTAGATAGAGCGTCACCTTGGTAAACGAAAGGAAAAAATTGTACACGAGATGAAAGATTCAGTTATGAGGGCATTCTATCTTGGTTGCGAGTATGTTAACTGGGTCGTTGTGTATAATAAGTTGGCCCACTGAAGTAGAAAGTGCGAATGGGTCCTGACACTACGAACGTCCCACTTAACTGGCCAGAGAGTGCGCCAGATTCGAACGGTGGAAGTCAAATCCTACAGCCTGTATCTGTGTATGAGTCAGTTTGATAGCGAGGATGAACCCGGTTTGAACCTGGACAGATTGTGCCAATATGAATGTCGGATTGAATGACAGGGAGTGATACATACAGCTATCTGGATTCTGGTCTAAACCCTCGACATTCAACGGAGGCGCTACATTGTATGTCAAAAGCCTTGCAGTACGAGCACTGAGTACATGGTGCTTTCCATGTACGAGTGAGCTCGAATACAGGGAGTTACGATTTAGTTTAATTAGTTTATGCACGAAGGTTGATCATTAATCACTGTGGGTGAACAGTGATCATGATTGATATTGCCTGCCGGGGCGAAGAAAATTGGCCATTTGTTTTATTTTCTTGTCGAACGCGTTTATAATTATCACCTCTCGCTGGTGCTTGAGAGCGATTCAAACGGCCGCAGCATAATTTCGTGGAAGGTTCAGATAAGAACACAATCGAGTGAGTTGAGCTCATCATTCTATATTATTATCTTCAAGCTCGAATTAACGATGTTCACCTTCTCCAGTGTTATCAATCCTGCTGCTTCCTTTTGGTGCTTTGTTCACCACTGACCGCTTTGTAGCTACTGGAAAGATAATTAGAAAAGTCGCTGAAGCTACATCCAAGGATGTCGATGTCGCTGTAGCTGCAGCCCACAAGGCCCCCAAAACTACCTGAGTGCTCAACTTATGGAAGAACATCAGCAGGAGCTTACTGCCCTTGAAGCATTGGACAACGGTACGTTCTCTGTAAAATTGGACATGGAAACACTTATCTTTCACTATAGGCAAGTCTTTCACCTGGGCAATGGACGTTGATACCACGTTTGCTATCGACACTATTCGCTATTACGCTGGCTGGCTGACAAGATCCATGGTCAAGTGGTGGAGGTAGGTGTCAAAATTGATCATTGATGTTACTGCCACCACCGATTTCGACCAGATGGACGAGAGGAAACGTTAACTCTCTTACACCCGTTATGAACCAATCGGTGTCGTTGGTATATTATTCCATGGAACTTCCCTAAGCTCATGATGTCGTGGAAACTTGGTCCTTGTATGTTCTAAATGTATCGTTCAGGTAGCTCTCTTTGTCCTCATGTTCACGTACAAATAGCTCTTGCTACTGGGAGCTGCATTGTCATGAAGGTAAGGCTTGCTCATCCTTGGTTGAAGCCGCACTGAGGTTTTTTTAGCCTTCAGAATCCACTCCTCTGCCTGCAATTCACATGAGTAAGCTTATCCACGAAGCCAGATTTCCACCCAGGACGTTCAACTTTCTCACTGGATATGGCGACATTGTTGGAGCAGCAATTTCTAGCCATATGAAGATTGACAAGATCGCCTTCACTGGTAGCACTCTCGTCGGTCGTAAGATCATGGAGGTCACCGCAAAGAGCAACTTGAAGGACATTACGCTCGAGGTTGGTGGCAAAAGCCGGAACATCACATTCAACGATGCAGATGTTGATCAAGTTGTCAGCTGGGCAGCTCATGCGATCTAGTAACAGGCGTCATCAAGTTCACAGTATGTTTACTTTTAATCTTCCACCAAGAGGCTGTGCTAACCCTGCTTTGGTTTCAAGACTAGAGGAGGTGAACGTCTACTGTCGTATCTACGACGTTTTGATGTTTCTGTCGACATGTCCCTGCCCCTGCTTTGTCTATAACCACCATCTTCCATTTTACCAACTTACCTTCTGTCCTTAGAACTCTACACGCTCTCATTGGAGATGCTCTCGACGACGTAGGGGGGGTGTGCACTGGAATGTGGAAACTCTTCGCATAATTTGAGGACTGCGATGCCTGGAACGCCTTCGACAGCATCTCTACAGCCCGTTCACCGACACATAAATCCTCAAATTCTGCGCAAGGACACGCATATGCTTCACCTCCGCCTTCGCTTCTGATTTCAAGCTATTTCCAGAGCCAACCATCGTCCCAGGATTGTTCGACCATGCCGCTCAGCACTCTCGACTTCCCTCCTCTCGACCTTCCATTTGATCCTAATTCGTCCTCAGACAATTTTACCTCTCATCCTGCGGTAATATCAGCGGTCAATAGAATAGTGGCTGCGGCAGGACAGATGAGCGCAACAGTACAGATACCGTTCCTGACGTTCTGTGATGCTGGCATGGGTGTATGCATCTATATCTCATCTCTTGCATCCCATTCACTCTTGCCTAGATCATTGAAGCTCAAATTTTCTTCCCAGCTTATGTTTTCACTGTTGTCGGTTTTGCCAATCCTGATACTTCTCCGATACTTGGTTTCATTTGCCTTCGTGTTTGAGGTTACTCGAAGCCTCCCATACGGTTGAAATTCTTCGCGAAGCAAGTCCGGATGGCTTACACGTAGAAATAATCGCTGAGAAGAATGGTGTCGACAAAAACAAACTCGGTACGTATAGAGTTCTTGTTCCTGATGGTGTAGGTCATGCGTTGTTTATAGATCCCAGTCTCATCTGTTCATCCGCCAATAGGTGACCATAATCGCAAATTTGCGGTGATTGCTTATATATGTAGTTGTACATATGTGTATAATCGTCAATGCACCTTCTGACTGCAAGTGAAAACTAAGATCCACATGTACAGGATTAAACAAGGTTTTGAAGCCCAAAGTACACTTGGCGCAAGTGAGAACTGTGTTGATTGGGTATATAGATGTACGAAGAACAATCTTCAATGACAAACGTAGGCGAATGCAGACGATTACCTTTGCTATACATGAAGTATTTTCTGAGTCCATCCAGATGTGCATACGTGCTGTCGGAACCTGTTCAGACTGGTCCGGATCTTAGGGTAGTTTATGCTAATCCATCTTTATCAGTCAGGTACCAGAGGAGCGCAAAGCAATCACAAGAAAAAGGTAGTGTATTTCTCCATTTTAGTAGGTAGATAGTACATGGCGCAGAATAAGAAAAGGTTATGTAAATGGCCAGCAACATCACGGTACGATGAAGATCTATAATCAGGTATTTTAGCAGAAATCAAGAGAGATAATATTCACTTGACACCTTCAAGCTTCAACGTTTTGACCTTCAAGTTTGGCGTCGACTTTTTCGACAAAGCCAATCATATGCGTAACAGCCCCGTTAATAATTTCATCCATGAGTGGGTCATCTACGATGTTTCTTGAGCATTCTTTCCGCAACTTGAGAATCAACGTTAGTAGTCGAATTTGGGTCAGCTACCATAATTTGCTCAGTTGTTCGTCAACAAAAAGGTGAATAAAAACTTGCCTCATCCCGGACAGCAATTGCTTTGTTGTTCAGGTCTTGAATGGCACCTAGGCATGATTTCACGACTTTCCAGGTAGCGTCCAGTACCTCAGACAAATCGTGGATCCGTTCAAAGTTAGACAAGATCTGGAGTACAAGGTGAGCCTAAGATTAGGGTAAAGAGAGTAAAAGAAATAAGGTGCTTACCTTCCTGGTCTGGTGGTGTGACGACAGTCATTAAGGAGCACATCCAAGCTCCGAAGCTGTTCTATGTGCTGGGTAAGCTCAAGCTGAAATGCATGCTGCTCATGGAGAACCCTCTCGGAGCGGAATGAGAGCTGTTCTGGAAGGAAGGTATTGCTGGAAACACTCATTCTATGATAGGGCAAAGAAGATGACCTGGACGCATCATAGAAAGTTTTTTATGTACTATTCTGCAACATGGCAAAGGGTATGAAAAACATCGGATTCGATTGACTCTTCCGGATGGGATTCACTATCGATCAAAGAATTATTGCAGGTTCGGAAAAGCGAGAATCAAGAGAGAAATATGTACACGCGGCTGCTCCTGACAAAAATTTTCAAAATATGTTATCCAGCGTTTCAGAATAAGAATGGTTAGCTGAAAACTTTGAGGGTCATGATCACCGGTGAACCCCGTAAACGTGCGACATTGTAACAGACATGCAGTACACGGAACGGGCGCCGGAGCTGGAGTCCATCGCAATGACAGCTGATATTATTGCATACTAGTCTTTTTGCTTTCACCTACTTATCTATAGCGTCTTTTGCACTTCTCAAATGGGGGCCAAAGCGATTCTATCTGCTTACTCAGGCTGGTTGTGGGCCTTGATGGACCCACAAGATCCCATCGAAGTACTCAATGAATAGGGATTGTCAGTCTTCGTCAGTGCCACTGAGCGGCCATCTGTCCACTCAATCTTGATTTAAATGCCTAAAATAGAGAAGGTGATTTCGTTTCGTTACCGGAATTTACCGGGTGAATCCATATTATCAGATATTATCCTCATGTTTTGCTCGTTTCTTATTGACATGATACCCGGTCGGATAGAAGCTCTATTTCCCACTTGCGCACATCATTCCAGTGGGCAATTTCATCGTTGCTGGATCTGCCTTACAACTTGATCTCGTGTCTGCAGAGTTAATGTGACTGATACCTCTGTACTGGCTGATTAGAATCAAAACTTGATAGCACATTTTTATGTCCCTTCAACTGACAATGGCATTTAGCAAGGTTGCTTCTTGACTCTCCAAAATAGATGACGTTACCAACGCTGAGCGTAGATATATTATGTAGGCGCGAATTCAAAGTTATTTTGACCTTTGGCACTTCGCATTGCACGCAGAAATATTATGTCATGCTGTAACAAACAGAATAACGAACGAAGTGACAAGGCCTAGCGGTGTACAAAAAGACTAGGTGTGGCATGAACAACCAAAAAATGAAGCAGTAAACTAAACATGTACGAGAAATGAATGATAAGAGTGTAGGGGCATGCCGATAACGAGTGGCACATGAACAAAGACAAGAAAGGTCATCAAGAATATTGTGGCAAGTCGTTCAAAAAATTCTGAGTATTCATAAAAGACATGGAAGAGTAGATGTGAAAAGTGATTCATCAAGAATACGTATCGGGGCAAGTCGTTGGAAGCGTCATGAGGATTCTTCAATGATATAGAATAGTGGATGCAGAACAAGGTATGCTCAAATATAAACAAGGGGATAGTCTCAGACCAATGAAACGGAATGATACAAAAAGGCAAAGAAAAAACCTAGGTAGATAGGGAAGTTGAATGGCACAATCCATCGAGGAACATCTGGGTTTCAACCTACACACATGGACATGAAAGGATGCAGAAAAACAGGTGAGATGGAAACGAGAAAGAGAACAAGATATATGATAGAAGCTTAGGCCTATATCGATTAGCCTCTGAGAAGAGACTAGTATGGAACACCGTGTTCGACGTGGTTGCGAACATTGACAGCGAAGCTGAAGTCTGCGTTGGGGTAGACGGCAATATTGAATGACCTACAACAGTAAAGACACATTATATCAGCCTCTGAGAAGAGACTTGTATGGAAGACCATGATCAACGTGATTGCAAACATTGATAGCGAAGCTAAGGTCTGCATCAGAGGCCGGTGTAAACATCACTATCGAAAGACTTACACAGTCAGAACTCGACACATTACGTCCCTCCTTTTATCCTCGCTCTCATACCAAGGAAGCGATTCGACGAACCTTTCAGACTCGTGAATCGCGAAGAAGGCGATACCAATATCACCCTTGTAGATTTCCTTGCAGCCAACAGATCCGATCGCCAAGTTTCTGTCCCTCCACGCCTTGTCGTAGGTTCCACCGACGAAATAACGACGACTATCGACTACCACAATAGCTTCGAAAAGTCGGTCTGCGCTGGAGGAGTCTTTGAACTTAGAGCGGAGTTTGACGAACTGCTGAAAAATGGTGTGTGGTGGTGCACCCTTACTGGTGTTTTTTGATTTAAACCGGACCACTTCTGCAAACGCCCTAGTTCGACCGAAATATAGACCTAACGTTGTGCCGTTTACCTGAGAGGTGAAAATCAGTAATTATCTTCCGTGTGAAAACATGTAGGACTTGCGATGTACTGCTTGGAGGGCATAATTTTTCCATTGAATATGATACCTGGGTCTGTATGAGGTGGTGACAGTCTTCTCGTCTCCGGAGCTGGAGGCCCTGCGACAGGAGTGGAAGATCGCCTCCCAGCGCGCTGTGCACGGTGACATGCCTAAATTTTGGCTAAACGTCTATGCTGTGAATTGTGACATTTTCACGTATAGATTTGTATCGAGAGGACTGTAATTGAGACCCAGATTGACAGTCAAAGTCAATACTGAATCAGTCTAATAAGTTGAAGGGACCATATCATATACCCATACTACCACAAGTTGGTTAGTTTACCCATCCCCGATACTACCTTCGGATAGCAGTCTTCCTGTTTGTCAAGCAGGATTATACCAGACTCGGACTACATCCGAAGGATGACCATTCACGTATGACATACCAAGGGTATTCTTATTGGACCTTACACTGGCAGGAGTTTGGAAGAACTTACTCAAGTGACCATGAGCCGAGGATTGACTCGAAATGACTTTCTAGAACTCAGGAATTATCAAATACTCCTTCTAGAACGAGATCATGCATTAATCTAAAAGACTGCGATTTAGTCTAATAGACCAATCAAGTTGCATGTTTGAGGAAAATGACTAGAAGAATGATCGAAGTACTGCGAGGCTCCGAAGACATATCAAATGAATGTCAAAGAGTCCTGACGTAGAAAATATTGAAGAATACAATTAAATGAATACTATGCATAACTCCCTTGATAGAGTATAGGCACAATGGGTGTCTGTTGAAAGAGAGAAGCAATTAGTTTAATCCAGATGAATCAGATTGATAGGATTAGAATCGAGGAGAGCTGATTTGCCTCCGGACGAGGTGACAAACGATCGAAGTAAGTGTTGAACAGCAATCACAGTTGAACACCATTCGAGTCATTCTCCAAAAACAATTAAATTAAATGAATATCGAAGTACCTACCTATGTTTGGAGGTATACTAGAATCTTGGAACCAATATGGGCCAAATAAGGACATGTAGATTCAAATTAAATGATATCTGACCGAGTGTAGAAGTTTCCTGGCGGTTCCGAATGTTTATTGTATTAAATTAATTGTACTGTGCAACTCTATATTCTGTATGTATAAATAGTGATCCGATGTATCTGGAATACAAGTGATTTTGGGACGACGTTGCAGTGCTAATCCGTAAAAAGGAAAGACACACTCCCGCCAGACTGAAACCTCTTCGCTAGCAGCCATTCGGGCCCGGCACTTGTGAGTATAGGAACGTTGTGTTCTGCTCCTTGTGACTGCGAGAAGTATATCCAGTTGTTGGATATCCTTCGAACTTAGGATCAGTCATTGGTCTCAAATCACGCTGTGTGGTTGTGCCAGCACATAGTTCTAGCCCTCCGAGGGGTCTGTGTGTTTCGGTTTTAATTTACTTTAATTCAAACCCCCAATTCTTGATATACCCAAATCAATACAATCAAAGCACAAATCGTGCTGAATCTACCTTGATCAAAGGAATATATCAAATCCTTAGAACGATTCAAATTGATTGATCAAAGCTTCTTACTTAGCTCTCAAAGCTTTGCGGAACCTTTGCCAACGCTACCCCTTGCTATTAAATAAATTTGATAGCAGTGAACTCGCATATTGTGTATTAGATTGGTTGGTTGGAGTGCCCATTAGATTTCTTCTTTTCTCTTTCACACAAAAACGAGGCAAGCTCGTTAACAGATGTCTCGAACGAGATCGAGGATATCTGGGAGATCCGTCGTAACAGATTCCTGGTCATCATTGACTGATTTGGTTTGAGAGCGGAGAGTTGGGGACATAGCGGAAGCACTTTGAGTCGAGACTGCTGAGAACTTGGAATCAATTTAGGGCCACCAGTCGAACCGAATGATTGAGGTTGTTATTTGAAGTGCAGAGCACGTTCCTACCATGAGTTCCTGTCTGGCGCATCTTGGATTTTCCGTACGGAAATCATACTCGGGAAAAGTGGTTAGGACAGGGCTAGGGAGTATCTTCTCCTTATAGATAGATCATCGGGCAGCACTCGTGCACAGTGCCCAAAGTTCAAACCCTGCTCACCCCTGTTGTATACTTGCTTATACCGATCCGGCTACGAGGTTCCTATCGGATTGGCGTGAGGCTTGTGTGTGATATAAACACGTGAGCACTGGATGACTTCCCGTGAAGATTATTGGACGGCACATAACAACTAAGCGAGCCCACCGATGAACGTCAACAGATTCTGAGTAGAACTCGAGCAGAACCATCTAGGGAGGGGTATGTCCGCAACACAAGATTAGCACAGGAAAAGTGGGGTAGAACACCGCAGTAAGTGGGAGACAGTACAAAGAATGATTTGAAATATTATATGTCAGCTCCGAAAGCTCGTGCCCACGGAAAAGCTGCAAGAAAACCACTATAGGCAGCGCTTTTGCTACGTATACTGAGAGGTTCACGGAAGCATCTACGGCATGGGGAGGACCCAATGAAAAGGTATGCAAAGCCCAGCCCACGGCGAGGCTAGTAAGCGGTGCCGGTAAAGCTCATGAAAGCGCGAAAGGAGGAGTTTTTCGTTTAGTTGCTGTTTGAAAGAGATAGCTGATCTATACGCTGGTAAGCAAAAAGGGTCCAAGAACACCAGAGTAAAGTTCCCGATGATAATGAGTCCTCTCCATCCTCCTCATTCTTTACGGAGCCGAGCATGTTCAAGGTGGGAATCGCACGCTGTCCATCTTCTTGCAGTACTGTACGAGTGAGCTCAGTACAAGGCACATACCACTTTCCATGTACAAGTAAGTTCGGATCGAAGTTCAATACTTGGTTCGAAGGTTGTGGGGATAACATATGCAGGTAGCAATGTTCGGTATACTGTGAGTAGCATTCAGAGATGCCAATTGCACGAGTGAGCTCCAGTACCGGCATGAGATATCATTGCCTGCCGCACAAAATCCTCGCACGGTTCACGCGGCCCGTTTATCAACATCATTATACTTCCAAGTTTGTTCTTGCTCCGGAGCCATGTACTCGAGCTCACTCGTGCATGTATGTTTCCGTCTGCGCAATATAAACTGACGCCACCCGCGCGTAGCGACTCTCTCCTGATCTAATGAACACCGAGACGAAGTGCATCACTCTCAAATGGAATCTGCAAAACCTCCAGGTCCATCAATATCGGGAAACGACTTCTCTTGCAAGACAGGGATTCGAAGGAAGTTGAGAAATATATATAGGCGAACTTCTGGCTGAAGTTCAGGGTGAGTGAACTCGGTTTGAATCTGCTTTCGAATAACAATCACCAATCTCTTTTTTAGCTAGTGGGTGCCTATTCCACTCTGGTCTACATATGGAGTGGCCGTGGTATAATCTAAGTCGCATACCCCGACGTCGAGAATAACAGTATCCGAGTAAGGAATGTCATTACATACTACTACTAGTAAAAAAAGTGAAAATGAAATCTTGGTCCCATAGTCAAGGGAGCGCAGAAGAGACACCGCGATACAACATTGCAATCAGAAAAGATTGTAAGCCAGGGAACAGCTCACAAATGACGGAACCCATAAAGTAAATGACAATGAACCACAGCAAAATGTCAAGAATCAAGACAGGCAAGTGAAGAATCATTACGGTAATGCAAACAAGCACCCAGAAGCAGAAGTCAAGGGTAAGTTCGAGAAATGACAAAAGACGCCAAGTGGCGAATGCGAAACTCAAGATGGACAAAACAACTAGAAATCTAATAGTCTCTTGCACACGGGGAAACAGCTAGGAAATACAGGTGAATGAAAATAGTATTGTCAAACGCTGAAACTGACCAGATCAGAGATGCCGACGTCTGCCTTCCAGTCTTGAAGGAAGTGACGGGAAATCACCCGCGCACATATCATAAAAAGCACAATTGCGATAACATCCCCCAGATCGGCACCAAGAATCATCGTGATGGCATTGTAGGTTGAACTCAGAATCCTGCCGGCAAGTAGAAATTTTACAAAAAGGCCGTGAAGGAGAAAATATCTGGTAATTCGGCACTCCATCGTGACCTAGGTTGAATATGTGAATCGAGAAACACTCCATACAGTAAGTGCAGAACCTACATAGAGCATATTGGGAGATTGAAAGATGTGAATGACTGTTCTCGAAATATGGCTGATAGATGTTACGAATCTACTTGCAGGGGGATCAAAGGCGTCAAGCTGAGGGTATAGTGTCAAACAAAAAGCCATTTCGACACATCATTGACTCACCGACTCCGAATCCTCTGCGGCAACCGTAGTCTCGTCGTCCTGGGAAATCGAGTCAGAGTCCATGGTATGTCTCAAGTGGGAACTTGGACTTGAAAGAGTTTGGAAAGAATGGTTTTCTAAGTAGCCCCAGTGAGATAAGAAGTTCAAAACGCGTTTGGAATCCTACGCGACTAGGGAAATTTGATAAACGAATATATGGTCTAAGTCTCTAACATTGGTGAAATTTTCTGATAGAAAACACCTCGAATGCGTGATTCATTGATCAAGATTCTTGAAGACTGTTCCAGAACAACGATGTCGTCTTCATATATTAAACAATGAGCGAAACATGAGGTATGTTGTTATATATAGAATTTAGATAATCAACAACATTACGTTACACTGTTTCCGGAACTTAGGCGCCAAAAGTTGAGTGGCACTGACAATATCTCTATTGTGTACTTAGATGGGATCTTGTGGGTCCATCAGGGTCCACAACAAACCTTGAAAGCAGCTGATAGAACTCGCTTTGGCCCCTTCTGAGAAGGTACAAAGACATTAAAGCTCAATGGAAGTGAAAAACATTGATTCAAAGCTGACAATGTGATCTGACATGGAACAGGTACCAGAACTCAGGACTGTCACTATGTCACACACGCTTGCAGTTGACCAATTTGTGAAAAGCGATTGCCTCGATTTTCAGTTTCCAGAAAGCTAACCATTTTGGATATATTGACACACGCTATGGACATGTAGGTTGAAACGTCCACATGTTTTTCACTCTTGGTTTCAATTTCCTTAATGCGAACCCTCAGAATAAATGGGGAAAAGATGCAAGAAGCAATTGGAAAAACTGCAATTACTCACTGAATAATCTTACCATATTCGCCCACATCGATCGAGTCTCATGGTACACATGCACTCCAGAGTAGCGCTAATCCAAGAGTCTCTTGCTGATGATCCAAAGTGCATCGCTAAAGATCTCGTGTAAGCACGAATGTTAGTGCCGATATCGATGGTCTATGTCCTAACTTTGGCTCTTTTTTCCTAAATAGCGAGCTCACGACCTGCCATACCCAGCCTGTCAGAGCTGCAAGATTTAACTAGTGACAATGCAAATGTTGAACGTTGTGTACAATGAAATTCGAATGAATGCGGACTCAATTGCAAAACTTGATCATCCTGGTGGCAAGCTGCCCTGCACTCGCAATCAGAAATGCCCTCTGCCAAAAGATATGTTCAGAAACAGTACAGGATTGACTGAATAGCTCTGAGACTGGGTTGGTCAGGATTCTAGAGATGAGAACACTCATAGCTCGATGTAGGGCTTAATCAATATTGGATTTGAGGCCATGTCGATTTATTATATCACACATGTCAGTGGTGACTTATTGAATCACAAAATGGTAACGTGTACAAGGTATTTAATCAGATCTCCTACTCAGGATTGTTACGACCTTGATAGTCGTTACCACCATCACTAATACTTCCGGACGCATCAAGGATGGATGTGCCCGGCGACGAAAGTTCCATGGACGATGAACCTCGCACTCCTCCAGCGCAGAGTGCTGCCTCTGATCCAGGAGCAACACCCACTCAGCAAAACCCAGGAGAGGCACGGGTAAGTTGTAGTCAATCGTTAAAATTTGTGATTAGTAGCTTATGCCACTCAGACCAGGAAAGCCACTCAACTACAAACTGCGAAATCAATTTCAAAAAAGACGACCAGAGCTGCATCAAGAGCTGCAAGTAGATCCCAAACCCCTTCTATTGCGGATGATGATGATGACACTGGTGCCCCCTTAAAACCTGTACATGTGCGTGTCATTCCAATTAATCTTGAGTACCTACTGATATATTGGGCCCTTAGTTGCTGGGTAACTGCACGCTTGAGGAGAAGATTATTCAGGCGAATAATGACGCCATACAGAAAATGGCGGAATCTAACGCTCGGATGCTTGCCAAGTTCAGAGCCAGCCAGACTGAAGCCATGGAGAAAACAATTCAGGTTGCGGTCGTATCTGGATTATCCAGTTTGAATCAAAATGTCGGTCGCCTAGCCGAGTCCCTTGAAACCATCAGCAAAAACCAATCAATTACTTCGCAATTACTCTCGCACCTTGAAGGTCGGTTGGATGGGGAGCGTCCGCGTTCGCCGACGCGATCCTCCTCCCATCGCCGCTCGATAAGCACCAACGCCGGGTACGCTGACAACACTCAAGCAGAGGGAAGTAATCAAAATGCCGCTTCTGCAAAGGGTAAGGGCCGCAGGGAAGTCGATGAGGATGATGACGATGACGATGACGATGAAGAATTCGAGTACGCAGACAATGAAGATCAAGCTGAAAAAGGAATTGCGTTGAAGAAAAAGCGGAAACTAACTAAGACTAGGAAAGCACTTGATCTACAAGTACGACATTGATTTTTCCGGGAGACAGCTCCACTCAATTCGAATTGTACTAGGATAATATTTGACACTGGCTCAACGACTTGATAGGTGTCATAAAGTACGCAGCCCCTATCATTTTCCCTTTCTCACCGTCTCGACGCCTTTACTTGTACAATACATCATCCCATCGCTGTCAATCTCCATCGATTACTGATCTATCTATTACTGATCCACCTGACCCACCTTCTCTTTCTATCGGCTTCCGCCTCCTTCCTTGCCCCTGAACTGTACAGTATTACATTGTTGTTTCTCGCAGACTAGATTATGTATATATAGCCAACCCTCCACAGCCTGGTCCCTTATCTTGACCTCTCTGTCATTATCTGGGACCAGGTATGTGCTTACTTATTATTACCTATGACTACGATACTCAATATATCTCTGTCATTATCTGGGACCAGTTCGCCTCCGCTCCGCTTAGTCGCTCCGCCTCATTGACCTGCTTAGTCGCTCCGCCTCACTGCCTGGCTTAGTCACCCCGCTTCCTGCTCCGCTAGTCACTCCGTCTCTGCCGCTTCGTGACAATAGGAGGCCAACAATATTCATTAGTTGCAACAGTGACAGACGAGGATGCAAAAACATTCGAAGAAACATTCACTCAGGACCTGACAAGACCGTGCCTACAGGTCAATAGCTATAGAGGTTCTGAGGCCGGATCTGGCCCGGGAATGGTCCGGAACTGAGTATTGGCCTGTAGTACACACTGGGAGTGGGACGTCGGTGAAGCTATTAGCAACACCCTTCACACACTGTTGGTGTCCCCGGGAATATAATGGCAAGAGTGCAAGATTGGGATGAGCAGCCTAAATGGGGTTCCTGATGATCCGGGAGTCCGGAAGCAAAGGGTAAAGAAGATATTAAAGACTGGGATAGGATGGTACACTTGATTTCAAGCTTGACTACAACGTACAAAGTATTCTAGCTTATATACATCCCAAATACAGTAGTCATAAGACCTCGATGAAAGCTCGGAATAATAAATAAGTAACAAGGTAATTATTCCGAAGTCCGGCCGCTCCGGGCCGGGCCGGGCCGGGAAGCGTATGGGTGAATTGCATGCATATGACAGGACCCTTTAGCCAAGCCGTGCACTGTTAACGATTTCCGGTACTATATCAATGGCAAGCCTAGCGCTGCCTGGAATAAAGGGGCAGCCTTTGTGTTTGTCGACTATGTGAAACAGGAAAAGCTGATGAAGATTCCCAACAAAGGGACTCACGATTTACTTCGAAAAGGGTTCATGACGCGTATTCGTACCCTTCATCACTATCACACACGCTCCAAATTCTCGAAAGAAAAAAGGGATCGATCTGCTAACAAGGGCAGGAAGTACTCAAGGAAGACATCTGTAAGTGGCAAGGTAAGTATTCCTCGACTAGCTATTCACAGCCTTTTAGACCTTCTACCAGCGAAGAGAACTTCTGAATTCACTCAATCCCCTCCGACAATATATTCGCTACCTCGATGCGATCGGGATAGCTGGTATGTCTCCGGATGAGGAAGACAAAGAGGGCCCATTATCCATTCCACCGCAGTATAAGATGACGCGACCTTTTTGGCGAGGCGAGGATTTGGAAGAATTTTTTATATTGTTGGATGCGTGTCATATCCTGATCAGAATGCGAAATGAATCACCCACAGGGACTACATACTCTCAAGGGGCCCCACCTTGCTATCGAGTACGAACACAGCGAGAAAGTGAAAACAAGTTATTTGTCAAGGGTTTACCAAAAAACTTTTATCGTGCTGGATGGCTTGAGGAAAAGGAACCAGGATGGCAAAAGGGCGGCGAGGGCTTTGTCAATATGATCATCCGCCCCAAGCCAGCCAAGGAGCTTGTTTTCCCAGCGGAACTAAAGGAGTAAGTTGCTGCGTTATTTCTTATGCTCGAATTTGCGATCTGAGGCGGTCATTCAGGGAACTGAAAAAGAACAGCTATGTGTTTAGTAGGTAATGCAGAGTAATACGAAGTCACCCGTTTAAAGTCATATAATCAAATGTATCATGCTTTAAATCTATGTCTTGATTTGTTACGGGAAGATATTTGTTGATCCACGACTGGGGGACTGTACATATTATAACGAACTTGGAAAAGAACAGGCGGGCTCAGGCGGGCCGTTTGATGATGATCAAGAGCCGTGAGAGAGTACTAGTTTCAACCGGCCGGCATGATCGCTCATTGAATAATACTCTGTTAAGATTATGCGGAGAGGTCTTAATACATGTAGTATATATAGTCCCAACCACCTATGACAATTATCCTGTCATAGTAGCCTTTTGGCTCAGTTGGATTTTGTGTTAGTGGTTGGGCATGAATTTCACATACTCACAAACTACCGACCATACCTACGACTAGTACTAGTACTATCGCCACGACCATCTGACAATGTACTTGAATTGGGTATTGAACTTGTACTCGAGCTCATGCGTATATACCATGTACTGAGCTCACTCATACAATACCGCAAGAACGACAACTGCATGCGATTTCCACCTTGAACATGGTCGCCTCTGCGAAGGATGAACAGGATCAAGAAGATATATTATCGAGAAAAGGTACGTAGTACTCTCTGTCATCTCATTTGCTGTCAACTTATTCGTTCAAGGTTTTGATGTTCCGGATACCATATCTGGACGTCACGAGTTGGACTCTGCTCTCGTGCAGATTTGCAAACATCGACCTATCCTCCAGCTCCGTATTCCTGCATTGTTGCACTGAGCTGACTCGTGCAAAGTTTCTTCGAAGCCGATGAACCTACTATTGGCAAAGCGCTGCGCCTTGCACTGAGCTCACTCGTGCAGTATCACAAGAACGGCGACTCTGCACGATTTCCACCACGGTCATGGTCACTTCTGAAGAGGACGAAGAGGATACATTATGTGCGCATTAGTCTCTGCTTCTCTTTTCTCTTAACTTATTTGTTCCAGGTTTTGATGTTCGGCATACCATATCTGGACGTCACGAGTTGGATTCTGCTCTCATGCAAATTTGCAAACTTCGGCCCATCCTCCACCTTCGCATTGTTGCACTGAGCTGACTCGTGCAAGGTTTCTTCGAAGATGAATCTACTATCAACAAAGTGCTGCACCTTGCACTGAGATCACTCGTGCAGTATCACAAGAACGGCGACTCTGCGCGATTTCCACCATGGACACGGTCACCTCTTAAGACGACGAAGAGGATATATTATCGAAACATGTGCGCATTAGTCTCTGCCTCTCTTTTCTGTTAACTCATTCATTCCAGGTTTCGATGTTTTCGATACCATATCTGGACGCTCCGAGTTGGATTGTGCTCTTGTGAAGGCCTACTAACTTCAGCCTATCCTCCAACTCCGTATTCCTGCATTGTTGCACTGAGCTGACTCGTGCCAAGTTTCTTCGAAGCCGATGAATCCGTATCTTGTAGTGAGCTCACTCGTGTAGTATTGAGAATCGGTAGTTACTACTCTCTATCATCTCATTTGTCGCCAACTTATTCATTCCAGGTTTCGATGTTCTGGATACCATATCTGGACCTATGAGTTGATTCTGCTCTCGTGCAGACCTCCTAACTTCGGCCTATCCTCCAGCTCTGCATTCCTGCATTGTTGCACTGAGCTGACTCGTGCAAACCTTTGTTGAAGACGATCACCCTGCATTCGACCTTGTTCAGCCTCCTTTCGTTTGAGTGCTGAGCTGCATAACTTATGCACGATATCAAGTCGCGGTTGAATGCCACTCTTAGATTTCTGGTGCACGCTGACGGCCACTCGCACTGTCAAGACCCTCTTTCACCTTGTACCCAAGTCAACTTGTTCCAACCATTCGTTCTGTGCAATGCGACTAGACGGTCGCGCACCTTACCCTACCCTGGTGTTCTCAGACCCTTTCTGCTTGCTTGCAAGCGTGCAGATCTATCTGTTTCGCGCCTTCATGAGCTTTCCCTGCACTATGGTCGCGGCGCAAAGCCTGACTGATTTTAATGCACTGGCTCCCGCTGTGGGCGGGACTTCGCATCACGTTTCATTGGACCATCCCCATGCCGTAGACACTTCCGCGAACGTCTCGGTATGCGCAATGAGAGCGCCACCTGGGGTGGTGAGTGGTGGTGACATGCAGCTTCTTTGCAGGCCACGAAGTGTTTCGGACATTCTCTAGAAACATCTTTGTATGCCATTTATGAGCCTTTGGAGCTAGCTCCGATTGTTGCAAATTTTTTGTACTTTCTCCCGCTTACTGCGGTGTTCTGGCCCAAGTTTCCTTGTGCTACTCTAGTGTTACCGATGTTTTCAGTGTGCATCTTGCAAGTCTTGTCGACTACCTCGCAGATCTGTGCTCGGGCGAGAAAGCAATTATTTTTTGTGGGGGACGCTGCAGGCTATGTAGTCCCTTGTATCCGCATATAAGCACCAAACTTCATGCTTTCTTCATAAGTACGCTTTTCCCAAAACCCTGAATAGCTGGTGCGCCTTTATGCAAGGGCCCGGAATGAACCTCAGAATCAAAAATACCTGCACCATCCAGGCCGAGCTAATGGAATCAGATGTGGCTCCATCTTACCTACTCTACTGCTCTGTACTCCGCAATGGAATTAAGTAGTAGCTGAGAGGTAGGGAAATTCCTGAGCTCATCATCTTGGGCTTTATCCCACCGATGCACTCCAAGGAAATCAGTCTTCATTGATCCAAATCTCTTATTTCTTCTCCTTTCAGGCTAGTCGTTCACTCTTTCAGCCCCATCCCCAACCAGTCATCCGCAGCCACCCCCAGCGCTTGTCTTATCTCTGTGCATCGATTTATCTCCCCACCATCGTTCCACTTGCCGCGGTGGCTCTAGCACCGATTCTTGCACAGGGTGCATCGATTGGTTACTCATGATGCATCCTTGCGGAGTTTCCACTGCCATGAGAAGTGGGGTTCCAAACGATGCGCAAGCGCGAGCACTCAAAAGCACCGTGCAAAAAAATTCCCGCTGCGAGCATTGCCTCTGGCAGGCACCAACCTCTTCAGTGCGCATTCCTGCCTGCTGCTCCAGACTTGCTCCTTTTGTACCCACTTTTGCTGCTCCTTTTGCACCCACTTTTGCTCGCGCCCGGACCAACTCTTAGTCTCTCTTCCTTAAATTGCATTCTGCCGGTTCTCTCAAAGAACTCCTGCGAATCAATGAAAATATGCTTGAACCTACCTTGTGGCACTGGTGAGCCCTTCCTGCGCCCCCTCGCGATGCGCTGCCTGCTCTTCTTTCAGTCCACACAAAAGAATAAGTCGATCCTGCCTGGCACCTCAATCGCTCCCACCCAGCCAGCCATCCTCAAATATGAGGTAGCTTACCTCTGCGCTATCCGTCGCCCTCAATACGAGACAAGTTCTGCTGCAGAGGTGGTGCTTCATGGCTGGGCAGTGCAGAGTTGAGTTCTGCGGCTCTGCAACTCAGTACCTTCGGAAATATTTTTTTTCGCTGCCGGCTGCCCTTCCGCTGGAGATACTGAGTCTCCAGTGGTCCTCTAGCATTTCAAATTATTTGCCGGCTCAGCTGTTTATCCGGTCCCCTTTCTGCTCTTCAAGCGCCTTATGATGCACCCCTTCTTCCATACCCCCGCCATGTCCAGTGCCCATCCCTTCAAAGTTTTAGCCAGCCGCCTCGAGCGTGAACCTCTTTGGCGCTCGGAGCTCCTGGATACTGACCTCAACCTCAAATCTTCGTCCAAAGTTGGCGAGCTCCTGCTGCACGCGTTTCCCGACCTGCACTTGCGCTCCTCCCTCTCCAATTTCAAGTCGTGGTTCAACAGGTTCAGTCGCAACTATCCTCTTGCTTATGCTGCCATCCTGCAAGCAGCTGCAATCCGCTACCAGCGAAACCGCGCCAAACGGTCTCTTGTCTCCCGCCTTCTCTTAAACCCCAACGCCCCGTCTACCAAGTCCGCTATCCGCACCCTTTGGGAATCCATACCAGTATATGTTGTGTCGCGCCTGAGTGCCCCCTACCCTCCGAAAGGCTCTTGGATTGTTGATCATGATTCCATATGGGATTTGTGGTACAATCACCTGCAGTATGGCAAACAACCGGATGCGCGCATTGCTCGGAGACCAATGATGCACATTGATTCAACTGCTCTTCAGTTCGACTTGGGTCCAGAAGAAAGTGGGCGATTCAATGAACCCGACGGTACTCCTGTGATGATGGCCATGCACAATTTCTGCTCCTTTGTCGAAATCGTTTCTTGGGTCAATGACATTGTTCTGTGCAATGTCGCCTGCCAGCGCAACGTTAGGGTATGCGCCCTTCATTCCAAACCCACCTCTTCTATTCCTAAAGTTCTTTTCTTCACTTAGAAGGAGGATGCTGGCTGTATTGTCATATGCGGATGGTCTGCTGGTTCAAGATCTAAGCCTGCTTTTGATTTCGTTCGCAACTTTCTGACTTCCAAATCTGATGCTGAAAAGTGTTCTCTTCGATACGAGGCTGCTTCTGCATTTGCCCCTTTCTGGAACATGGTATGCGCCTTGGGTCCCGATGAGGTCCTCTCTGATATTGAATATTTCTTATCCACTACGAAAATCTATGGTATGGACGCCAATCTCCATGCTGGCGGTCCCAAAAATGTCTATACCGTTCCAATCAACGGGATTCCTATTACCTTCCGCAATGCCCGGATGGCTCCTCCTTCTGGTGTTTTTGCTTGTAATTATGCTCGGTGTGTGTTTTGCTGCACCTGGTTTTTCTTTGCTCATTGCACGCCCTCTTTAGAGCTGTTCACAATGAAGTTCAGCCCCATAAATGGTCCATTGCCTGGACCACTTTTCGTGCTTCCATCAACAAGGAACTAGGTGGCCATTTCTATAATTCTGACTATGGTATTTGCATCCGCTCCGCGAGCAATACTGCAGTCTTTTGGCAACCTGAACATTTTCATGGTACCAGTCTGCAGGACATTCCTCCTTCGGAAAAGGGTGGACCTGTCATTCAATCTGGTCTATCCATCGTTACTTCATCCCGTCTTCCTGTGATCTTTGATAAATTCATTCAGGGTACTCTTCCTGAAACGCAGTTAATTCGCGTGTGCTTCACTAATGAGGAAGACTTATTGGCTGACCGAATGGGTCGCACTCTCTCTCTTACCTGAACATTACTTGTATGTATGTAAACAACATTCAAACGAATATCAATCATCCGCTATCGTCAGTCAACGTAAAAATGAATCTTTTCCTGGTACCCTTGCTGTCACCGTCGTCATCACTGAACTTCCTTTTCTTGAGCTGCGACCGCGCCGAATCTGCCTTGCTGCTCCATTATATAATTATAATAATCGCGGTTGCTACTATGTGATATGACAACGAAGATCATTCTCGTCAACGGAAAGCAACGGAATCCACACGGAGGATCATTACACGAATGCACCACTTTAGGGTACAGTGCATGCAACGAGCAACCAGGATAGTACAAAACAAAAAAGTAACCTCTATAAAATAATTCTAATCAAAAGGATGATGCATGCGATTGTGTGGCGGACAAAACTCCCTGTACACTGCGCAAAGAAAATGTTTTGCCCCGATACTTTTTGAACAGTGATCTTCAAAGGAGCCGCAGGTGGTCGAGTGTGAACTGGGAGAAAACGAAGAAGAACCGCTGCACGATCCAGCCACAGCACTCACTACAGTTGATCACTTCCAATTCGACCAATGACGCGAAGCAAGTGATGATGACCTCGTAAATCTCTTTGTGCATATGATGCGTGAATCTAAATTCAGTTTAGCGTTCTGTAATGCCCACAGTAAAAATATTACGGGGAAGTGGGGGACACGGTGAGGAAAATGCACTTTCGATGCGGAAATACCTGGAATGTTATTGTTGATTGTCTGCAAAGCATGAGTGGTATAACCTGCGGCATCTGTTTAAACCAGTTTGTGCGGAGCGGACTTCTCACCTTGTGCTCGTTCTCACTCCCTTACCGCACAACCCAAAATCATTTGCACTCACTCACTCTTCAACCTCTGATGATAAAATCCAATGAAATTGACGTAACTCGTCAGACAAATTGCATCTTAGTAGCTATAGTGTTGGTCGACGTTGAGCAAGACCATGGGAATTCAAAGCAAAAACAGTGAACGGCAAAGAAACCTTTTGATTAGATGTTGACTGCTGACTTTACTCGCGTGTGCATCGTTGAACCAACAAGATATATGATATATGACAGTGCAAGTACTTCTCTGACCCTAGAAATAATCCACCATCCGACGAACGTGCAAGATAGAGTACCGATAAATGTAGTGACAGTGACCAGGATAGGCTTGGGCTGCGAAAAAGATTAACGAAGTTCTAAAGCAAGTATCGTTGCTTCACCTGCACCGTTATATTATGCCTTCCAAAGTTCTGAACGAGGATAAACGAGAGAACCCCAGGCAGAAGAAATCCGACCAAACCCGGCCGACTAGCATACTTCGCTGACGCAAGCCAAATGAATTTCATGCAATACAACCAGCAACTGAATATTCCAATTAGAAAGAAAGACTTTAGGAAGTTGTTACGCTTGAAGTATATTAGACTGGTTTGCATGATTTGAGATGCAGAATCTCACATTCAAGGTTGTCGTACCGATTGACTCTTTCAAGCTCTCATTGGCATTTGATTTTGGGTCAATCGTGATTTGACCTTTGAGGTCATGGACTTCATTCATGGATCATTCCACGAATTGTGATTCTCATTCAATCTGGATATTGAACTCATCCTGATCAAATTCGGAGAGACGCCTAAAAAGCATCAGTATAAAGACATTACGGTACGGTAGTACCAGGGTAGTACCTCACCGTATCGGTGGTTCACCCTGCTGTTCTTCATTCCCCTGGGAAGCACGCGGATCAAGTGTGAGTCGATGCAAAGAATCCGTGTCCTGTTTGAGTGAAGAGATAGAAGTGCCCCAAGTCTTTTGATCTTCATTGCTTTCCAGAAGTCGTCTGATACGAGTCAGTGCAATACACCAGTAATAGAATAAAAGCTACCTCACTGAATCGGTGGATTGGCCTGATGGACTTCAACTTCCTCCCGGAGAGTAAATATTTCATCCTGGGCATCGGCGAGTAGAGCTTGCAGCTCGTCATTGTGTCGCTTAAGATTTTCATTATGTTGATACACAGTTTCAAGTGCTTTCGTGAGTTCTACGTTTTCTAATGTTGATGTTGCAGTCGAACTAAGCTGGTGAGCTGCGTAATTATCATCCGTCAACTGAAGTTTATTCAAACGTACCGTGGCATTGAGTGCTAGCTTTTGAATCTTAGATTTTGCACCTTGCAGCAGTGACTCATTGGAATCCATATGAAGCTGGTCTTTCTGCCTCAACTCTTTTCGCAGTCGGCGATTTTCTGAGTGGAGTTCAGCTAACACATGGATTGCAAATCAATTAGCATAAAGAAATTATAAGCATTAATGGAACGCATATGCTTTTTCCATCGACAATTTGAGTTTGGACTCAATTACTGACACCCTTATCAATGCAACATCTCTTTCCTGCTGCATATCATCTAGCTCACCATTAAGCCTTGAGAGACGAGTACCTAAAGTGGTAATATCCACATGATTAGCTGACAGGTGAGTTATAGTGGCACGAGCTGTTGAAGGAGACTGCACTTGTTGAAGTTGAAACACACTGGAGCGCCCTTCAGCTAACCCAAACAGTATGCCACCCAGCTCAGTGCAGAGAATGTCAATGCCTTAGTACAAGCTCAGTAGGTTGTGCTACAGAGTCTTGTAGTTGCTCAGTACTCCAATAAACACAGTAACAATGACCAGAGTCAATATAGTATGAGTATTGATTTGTATCTTTCAACTATAGTAGGAATACAGGTTTGTTTGGTCTTGTATGTACTAGAAACGCATGAGGCGTGATAATAGGTGTCCACAATTGTGCGCACCTATGAAAACTAACTAACTACAGTAACACTAAAGAAATAGCTAAGTTATGAGTTGTAAAACTAAGAAATGAAGTCTGTAAGTACTTTATACACTAAGTAAGTCACTACAGTGATAACTAGGAGTGATGAGGCGCTGTGTAATGTATGTAGAAAGTGTTCTATCACTACAGTATGCTCAACACGAGCTTCATCTAGTTCTCGATGCAAAGTGAACGCAGATGCTTCAGCAGCTTCATTATTGATAAGAGCGAGATCGAGTTTCTGCATACAATATTAGTTCCTTTGAGTCCCTGTATCAGTGTCTACAAGTAGACACGCCTTTTCAAGAGAGTAGTTTTTGTCGAGCAATTCAGAAAATCGATGATCATGGTCTTCATTGTTTGCAGAACAGTCCTACATTTGGTCAGTTTGATCATTTCAGTGCGTTGAAGTAGAGGGGCTAACCTGATGGAGGAGGCGAAGGGCATCATGATGCTGTAGTAAAGCTTGTCCTGCTTCTAAATATATCATTAGATTTGAGTTTGATCCTTAGGATCCGGAGTTCAGCAGGCGTACCAGCACTAAGAATAAAATTGTTTTCCAGCCGCAATATGATTGCCTTCCATGCTTTGAAATTATTACAGGCATCTCGTTGACAACAGCATGTTAGATGTGATGAGGGTTCCAGCTGAGGGATTGAAGAGGTAATAGAGGTGGTGTCAGCGGGAGTGTCCGTATCATCAAGCATAGAAGTAGTGATTGCAGTCAGGTCAACCTGAAAGAGATATATATGCCGGCTATCCCGGGTCATGCGCGGCGGTCACTTATTCCTCTGCTAATCCCTGACGGATAGGATGTCGAACCAATCTGATCGTCCCAACACCCCCGATTATCAATGTGAGCTGCCTTGTATAGTTTTTTTTGCAGTCACTAGGACTGACCCTCGCTCAAAGGTGATACGGACAACATTGAGTCTCGGCCGATCGCGAGCTCATCCAACACACTCAGCCAAACAGATAGACCTGGTGCTGTCATGGTGAGTGCCTCCCTGAGGCCTGAGCCTTAACCTATTGGGACATTCTGGACCTAAGTAAATGCGTGCAGTCTTCTCAGACTGATTCCGGAGTAGAGTCGAATCTTGTGGTTATTGATACTGGTAATATCACTGACAAAGACTCGGAGGTGAGTTAATGAGATATCTGGACGTCTTTCGTTGAATTCATAGGGCCCCGGGTGTACAGCATTCTCATGCAGTGAATGAACGAATCGCTGACAGTGAAAGTAAATCATGGAACGACGAAACGCCTTGGCTCGACTCGGGACACTGGCTCAGTAGTTATTTGGAGTTTGCAAGTTATTTTCCTGAACGTCTTACATCAATGCACATGTACTATGAGAGCACCTGGGGCTCTTTCACGGGCACTCAGTGGAATCTTAATGTTCGAACAAACTGGAATATTTTACAAAGAATGGTAAGTCAACTCCTCAGTGCCAGCGCTACTCTTACTTTACATGAGTAGCAAACCGACGACATTGCTAATCTCAACATATCCAACTTAATGTTTCACTTTGGGACATTAGCCTATACTATCGTAGAATCCAAATTAGCCTGGAATATCTTGATTCTAGTTCAGCAAAGCCTGGGGTTTTACCGCTGGTTACTTGGGGTTTTATTTTTCGGAGTCGGTGTTCTAACTTGCTATCTGGTTTGCAATTGGTTTCCGACCAGCGATCGTGGTGATGTGGTAGGCCAGATTGTCTTTCATTTCATTCAACATGCTAATCAAATTGGTTAGCGAAACCTATTTCCGACCGTGTTCGTATGGACTACAGTGCTTATTGGTGTCAGCCTTACTGTGCTGATTTCATGGGAGCTTGTTGCTTTTGTCATGGGAATTTATACGTAGTCATTGAAGGTGTTGTGGTAATATGTCCACTGTACTGGTCAACCAATTTCCTGACACTGCGCACGAGGGCTGTTTCGCAGCAAAAAATCTAATAGATGACAAGGTCTTGCGTATCAACAATTAAAGAAAACCCACCACATCGGAATTCTGTGAACTAATTTTGGAGAGGAATGTTTAATTCATTGCTCAACGTATGTGCGCAGCCGTTCCCGTTCGCGTCCGTACCAGACGCAGCAAGTCCGAGGGGGAGCCGTAATTGTTGACAAGCATGATGCATCCGCAGAAATGGCGTAGTTCAATATCAGTGCATACGAGTCAAGTCAACGTATAGCATTTAGAGCGAAATATGATGTATGCACAAGTGAGCTCAAGTACAAGAATGAATTGCACACCCACGGGCCGCTCAAACCCTTTTATATCTTCGTCCGGCAGGCAATCATCTCTTGTTGAGGTCGACCATGTACTTAGAGCTCACTCGCGCATGGGCATATCTGATTGTTACTTGTGCAGCCTCTTCTTACACTTCTTGACAGATCCCTACCTTATTTGACCGCTCATTGGTGCTCGTCATCCGTCCATTCGGCCATCTAAAAGAGTTCTTGCTGGTGATAGTGCCGGAGGAAATTTGTGCTCGACCACTCTGACTGTTCTTCGCGACATGGGTATGCCATCGCCTGCTCAATTTTGATTAGTCCATGGGTGGACTTGACACACAGTTCTCCGAGCATCATGCATAACTCGAAGACAGTGAGCTCGTTGGTATACTTGAATCGACGGCCTATTCATATCTTACGCTCTCGCAGGACTACATGGATTTTTAGCTAGACCCTCTACACTGTGGCCCATTGATCCTGTACCCCCCTTGGGTGGCCGCACATGTGCTACAGAGTCTAATCCACCTTCTAAACCTGGACATGCCGACACACGACACCTCAACCCTAGTGCCTACCGAGTCCAAGCACGCGCTATAGGTGAACTAAGAAGAAAAACATGTTGGCTGGGGGTGGAGAGTATTGAAGAGGCAGAAGTGTTGTATAACTCAAAGGTTACTTTTTCCTCAATAATTTCATTTCATTGACATCGAGATCTACATAGAGCCTTGGAAAGGGCGAACCTCTAGTTTGCTATCGGCTTAAGTATCATGCTTCAGTACATCTCTGGTGCGCTGTATGTGCACCATCGTTCAAACCCTCACCAGGTCTTACTAGTAAGTGAACACGGCTGCCTGTACCACCCTTCGCAACATGCTGACTACAACCAGTGACAAACAAATCTTCATTCCCAAGGATGGTAGATGTGGCAAGAACCCATAAACACTCACTACCTCAAGTACAGGAAACAAAAGACCACCACCCAAAGGAAAGCACACGAAGACACCTATAATTGCAAGGATGACCCTATACAACCGAACAGTCAAAGTCCTCAAATCCATGGTATTGGTCGACATGAAGGCGGATTCCAAGGGTAGGGAGTGTTTCTGGAGGCCTCTGCAAACCAACAGATCCCCACCAGCAACTGAATCTTCCACTCAGTACCTTGGAAGTGTACAGGAGGCCTCCTCCTCACTTCTGACAGGTACATAAATATTCAGTTGCTTCCTCTCACCAAAAACTCTACAGATATTCCTCACTTCTGAAAATGTGTACAGGTTTCTCCACAACCTCACTTTTCAGCTGTGTACAGATTTATCTCTCTCTCTCCAGGTTTTACCTCACTTCTGTACAGGGTCTCACCCTCAGATGTATACAGGTTCCACCTGATTTTTTACAGAAGTGTACAGGCTGTGTTCCTCACCTCTTCAGTTGTGTACAGGTGTTTCCACCTCACTTCTTCAGTTGTGTACAGGCCAGACCTCACTTCTCAACATGTGTACAGGTCACACCTCACTTCTGTCCTCAGATGTGTACAGGTAGCACCTCACATGGGGCCAGTTGGATCAGGTGATGTGTTGATCATGTGTTCTGTTTCAGTCAGGTGCCAGAGTTTCTGAGCAGAGGCCTGTGTGAAAAAGGTCAGAATCATGTGATCCCATCAGCTCTTCCTTTCTCTCTTACCACCACCATCTCCTGTTTGGTGATTTGGGTGAGAACACTGGCTTTCTTCCACAGCTCTGATAGCTTCAACATCATCCTCCAGGTCCTCCTTTCATCTGTACAGGCCTAGCCTCAGATTCAAGGACCTGCCATAGCTCTGACAGCTTCAACATCATTTTTCCTTGTCTTTTGTGTACAGATTAGAGGTCTGGGTTCTCAGTGTGTCTATGATATCTTTTATGGGTGTTTTACATGGTTTTCAACTGATGTTTGGGCAGATCTAGGTTGATCTGGTCATTTTTTGGTCACCCTCCCTCCTCTCCCACATCACATCTTTACTTTCAACCATTTCACTCCACTCTAACCTTGTTATTTTATTTTTTACTTAGACTTCTTTTTTCATTTATATTATTTACCATACCATACCCTTCCTGTAGGGCCCTGCATGATGCATTCAATTTAATGGGGCTTTGGCCCAGTTTATGGCTAAACACCTCCCTATGAGTGAAAATAGGCATAGGCCGGTGCTCCCTTTACATTTGCGTATTGAGAAGCTAGGTTTGCTCTCACTTTCGGTGCCAAGAAAGCAAAAGCTGCTACTATTCGTCCTCAGGAACGAAATCGCGATGTAAATGCTAGGGATACAACATGTAGTGGATGGTATTGACATAAACATAAAAGATGAAGCACTATTGACAAAAGATATGTGCATCGGAATGCTCAACTGATATACCTGTACTTAGCTTAGTGCGTAGAATACGCACAGGAGCCCGGAGACATAAGTTGCGACAAAAAATGTTACCCTTTGTCTCTATAATGTTTCTATTCTGTTGAGTCATCAGTTGCCCAAGAAGTTTAGATAAGGATTTGATACTTGAAAAAATGAACAATTTGCCCCTGTTGTTGGGGATGGGCTTCTTTTCAGGTTCACGGAGACAACCAGAGGATCTTCGGTGTAGAAACTCGTCGTTACCCGACCGCCTGATAATGCCCATGCACCCGTTATGCTTCTACTCACATGTATACCACTATATTCTCATGCAACTCAACAATTATCACTACATAAGCATAAGTAGCCACTAAATCGTACGCAACTAAAGCTAGTGACGACGCGACCTGTTCATGATCATCAGTAACGTGCGCCGTTATGATCACAAGATTGATCAAAAGGTTGATCACTTAAGCATCCAATCTTTCTTCGTTGCAGTACAGTATAACTAGGTCACCCGTAGGTAACGTCCAAGATTGGTACGTCTTTTCAGAACTACCGTGAATCACACTGATGATTAGATACATTTTCAGACCATGAACTGTTCTCTTGCAGTGTCGGAAGAAGGGTCAAACCCATTCAGTTTTCACGCAGTTATAGACTCAGCTGTATTCACATTCATCAATCGAAAACCGGCATCCTATCCCTCGGTTCCTTCTAAAACAGAGATCATCAACCCTAGTCCTCACGCAACGGCTATGGCAAATTTTTATACTCCAAAATGGGTCGCATCATCTCTCCCTTTCCTGGGGTTTGCGCCCAGTAGCAATCCCTTCAAATGTGAGTTCCTTAGATGCCTAGACTATAGTGCACACACACTGCCAATAACTGGTAATAATATAGATGGCTTTGCCTTAGACCTGTCACTCCAAACAGACTGGGATTCTTTGGAAAGGAACTTCAGAGCTTTCCTCAGAGCTTGTATGTTTGTCAATTGCTTTGGCGTACCAGAAAATTTTCGCCTCTGGGCTTTTCCCCTTCAATATGGCTATAAAAAATTGTACAAGAACCAGGACAAGGCTCGAGCAGCGGCACATCGGTCTCGCCAAGCTTTCATTCCACTCATTGCATCGGTATCCTTTTTCCTTCGCTTGCTTTATCATCTTGAGAATGAGTGGGGGAATCTTGTTGAAAGAAGAAAAGATATCCCTGCTCCTCCTTCGAATTCATTTTGGAGTGATAGGCAGAACAAAATGGAGCAAGAACGCTACGGGCCAGTGCCGTCGAAGTGGGAATGGCAGGAAAAGCTCAGGGAAAGAACCTCCATCAGTGCAGAATGGCTGTCTTATTTTTATGAGATCATGGATATACCCATGGTCGGACTCTTCTTTGATGTTCATCATTCAGGCTGTTTGTCGTTGCTTTCGGTATTCCTCGAGACTAAAATGCCTTTGGTGTTGTATTGGGGAAGTACTAATGACTGGAGAGTCCCATTGGGGCTCCCTCCTTCCATCCCGGTTCCAAGTAGAGCTCTGGTCAACCATCTCATGTCCAAACAAATTCCGTACTCACCTCCTGCACCCACCACACCCCCCACATCCGTTGCTGTGAGCAGCACGACTAACATAATTGGAAAAAAATTGCGCATTCCCCGGCTTGATGGTGGAACTCAACCCCGAAAAAGCGAAGGTGTTATCGAATTCCTCAAGCAAAGAGAAATTGATAGACTCCGGAAGATAGCCTCTGAGGACATGAAAGATCGGCAATCACGTCTTCAACGGGAAAAAAATGCATCTAGGGATATGCCCCCAGGCCGCAAAGGAGCGCGAGTCTACTACTGGGACATGGTTGAAGGTATCTGCGTTTGTACTGCTGTTGGCAGAAACAACTACGAGGACATTTGGGAATGATATGGGCAGCGTCAAAGGCATTATGACTCTGTTGCAGATGAATGGGATATTGTCAAGTCCATGCCGCGGGCCTCCATTCCGCCGTTCGGGATTCCGAAGATCTGCTCCTTATTGTTATCTCACTCTTATTGTTCTTTCTCGCTACACATACCCTTTCGTTCTAGTCCCTTCTTATTGTCTTTTACTCTACCCTGCAGGTACTACTCGTATAGCTCCTAGTAGTTAGTCTGGCGCTCCGCACCGCTGCGCCGATCCGTAGATATAAATACTGCCTGTACGCTACTGTAGTTCCTCAGTTTAATTATCGACTTAGATTCCCTCTTTCACTCTGTGCTCCTCTAAGTCTTCAGGCTTACTGCCTTGAAGCTCTCTCTACTCTACCTTAGGACTTATACGTTCTCTGGTTCGCTCCTCGTCACCGGCGTTATCGCCGCTCCGACTTGGCTGCTACTCAGCTCCTCTCTTCTATACTCTCGACCTCCGGGGACTTACGGCGTAACGGCGGTGTTGTTAATAACTTCACTACTGTCCCATTCGTATTCCGCACTTAGACACTCTGTGACCTCTGGCACGGTTACACGGGTTGCATGATCTTAACAGTATAATTAAACTCAATCCGTAACGTCGTACTGACATATCATTTTTTTTATGCCTCCGAAAACTCGAGCTCAATCCAGAGCTAATTCCGAAGAAAACACTTTCTTCACCACAGCTCAATCATTTGCCCCATTCTCCGACTCTATCTCTGCCATCGGTCAACCACGTCGCCGTAATCGCGGTTTCGGTCCAGCCACAGTTCCTACTACGTCAACTCTTCCTGAAGCCATGGAAGAAGATCAGCAATTTGAGTACAGCACTTTGTACACCGGTGACGGACAACCTGTCCAAGTCTTGACCCCTCGCCGTGGACAACCCCCCGTGGTCGCTCCGGCTCGGGGCCGTTCAACTACTCGTATTGATTCTCCAATCCTCCAAGCCATAGCCCGCCGTACGGGGAAACAACCCCAACGTCGCGCTGCTTCTGAATCTCCTCGTGACCCACCTCCTCACTTCGATTTGGACACCGGTGATCACGATGATCAAGACCCTCCTGTCGACCCCGACGATCCGGGCGCCGACAACAACAATGACGATCTGGATGACGATTCCGGCGGTTTACCGCGTGGTGAGCCTGGTGACCCCAGTGGGCCTGACGGTCCTGGTGGTCCTGGTGGACCTGGTGGTCCTCGTTCTCCTAATTCTCCTGACATCCCCAACGAGCAACGAGCTATGTTGGATCTTCTCTCGGGATTCAAGGGTTCCATTGAAACCCTCGGTACCGTTCTCGCCGCACTCGGCCGTCCCTCTGACAGCTCTGAATCTAAGAGCAAGGTCAAGGAGCCAGAGGTATTCGACGGTTCGGATCCCCGAAAACTCAAAACATTCTTCGTCAATCTCGCCCTGGTCTTCAATGACCGTCCCAAGTACTTCACCGACCAACGGAAGGTGAACTACACTCTCTCTTATCTCAGTGGGTCAGCCAAAGAATGGTTTGTCCCTGATATCCTCGATCCGGATCTCGACTCGCTGCCGGCCTGGACGTCGTCCTTCACGGCCCTTGTAAAGGAGCTACAGGACAATTTCGGCGTTTACGACGCCCAAGGCGAGGCCGAGGACGCCCTTGGTAACCTTAAGATGAAGGAAACCGAGAACATCCGGAAGTACAACATCCGGTTCAACACTCTGGCTGCTAGTACCAACTGGGATTCTGCTGCCCTGAAATGGGCTTATGGACGAGGCTTGGCTGAACGCATTAAGGACGAAATGGCGCGGTTGCCCGAACCGGCGACGCTCGCCGCTTATCGTCTAGAAGTTCTTCGTATTGACAATCGTTATTGGAAGCGCGAAGAAACCAAGAAGCGTGAGGCTGGCAAGCCTTTTATTGCTCGGAACCCGAAGAAGGGTTCCTCGGACTTCAAGACTGGTTCTACTAACCAGCAAAACAATTCTCAGCCTTCGGGCTCTTCGGCGCCGTTCACGCCGAAACCTAAACCCTTCTCTGGTGGTAAGCCTAACAACAATGGTAAGCCCCAGAATTCTGCGAATTCCGGCCAATCCGGCGGTCAGCGCCCCGCGTTCAATCATCTAGGAGCAGATGGTAAAGTACTTCCCTCCGAACGGGAAAGAAGGATGAAGAACAACCTGTGTCTCTTCTGCGGTGGTAAGCATCAGATTGCTGACTGCAACAAGCGAAAGGCCCGGGAATCGAAGGGCCGCGCTGCCGAGGTTGAAGAAACCCCCGAAGCAACCATTGAGGTTGTTGAAGAGGATTCGGAAAACTAGTCCGCAGCTCTTGTTCCCCGGTACGAAACGGGAGCTGCGTTGATCAGGTTCGTACCTCACCTGGGGAGTTATATCTCAACGCGTCCGCTCTTTCTTCCATTGAACGTTCTCTTGTAATTTCATTAACTACTGAATTCTCGTTATCCGATTCGGCCGCGCCGGCCGAACCTATCTCTGCTCTTCTCAAATTTCCTACTCTTGTTGATTCTGGTTCTACTGACTCTTTCATTGATACTCGTTATGTTTCACAAAATTCTATTCCTACGACCAAAATCTCTCCTGTTAATCTTCGTCTCTTTGATGGTTCATTATCTTCTAAACCCATTACCGATATGGCGAATATCGCCGTTCGGTTCCCTTCCGGCGAGCTGCTTCTATTACCCTTTTATGTTACTCATTTAGATTCATCCTGTAAAGCAGTACTAGGTTACAGTTTCTTATCCCGCTACAATCCGTTGATTGACTGGGCATCTCGAAACATTACGTTCCGTAACACTTCACACTTTGATTCTCCACAGACGTCTGTGCCTTCTGCCGTCAACACTGTTGATGCAAAGGTCGCAGTTCCGCTACCGGAACGTTCGCCGTCGGTTTCACCGACAATTCTGGAGACCCCTCCTGGGGACTCACTTCGCTCTCGCTCTCGCTCCCGCTCTCGGACTTTACGGGCCAAGCCCCTTTCGTCCAAATTCCCCTTTGAACCCATCTACTCTTACCCTACGGTCTCTCAATTCGCTGCTCAACTGGAAACTCCTGAGGTCGACATTGCACTCGTCAGTGCTGCAGTCTTTAACAGGGCTTGCAAGGACGCTGGTATGGAACCCATCTTACTTCGTGCTATCCACTCAGAGGTCGCGGCCCGCGCCGCCGACCGCTCCTCCACCACTCCTACTGTCCCTCCACTCCATCCTTCTATCCCAGAAGAGTACGCAGAGTTTGCAGACGTCTTCGACGAGATTGCTGCAGATTCACTTCCTGAACACAGACCTTACGACCTGAAGATTGACTTGGAAGAGGGCGCTTCGCCGCCTCTCGGCCGTATTTACCCTTTGTCTGAAAAGGAGCTAGTCGCCCTTAAAGACTTTATTGACAAACAGCTGGCTACTGGTGCCATCACCCCATCATCCTCTCCTCACGGCGCTCCGGTCCTTTTCGTCCCGAAGAAAGACGGCAAACTTCGCCTTTGCGTCGATTTCCGTGGACTCAATCGTATCACCAAAAAGGATCGTTACCCACTCCCACTCATATCAGATCTCCTCGACGCTCCGAAAAGAGCTAAAATATACACCAAATTGGACCTCGCTCACGCTTATCATCTGGTCAGAATCGCTGAAGGTGACGAATGGAAGACCACCTTTCGGACCCGCTACGGCTCTTACGAATGGAAGGTCATGCCGTTCGGCCTTACGAACGCCCCTGCGGCTTTCCAGCGGTTTGTTAATGACATCTTCTCTGACATGCTCGATGTCTGTGTCATCGTCTATCTTGACGATATTCTGATCTACTCTGATACGCCAGAAGAACACCGAGAACACGTTAAGGAAGTCCTTCGGCGGTTACGGAAACATCGGCTTTACGCCAACCCCGAGAAGTGCGAATTCAATATGGATACTGTTGAGTATTTGGGTTATATTCTTTCTCCCGACGGATTAACCATGTCCAAAGAGAAAGTTCAGACAGTTCTAGAGTGGCCGGTTCCGAGGAAGGTCAAGGACATTCAGTCCTTTCTGGGTTTTGCAAATTTCTATCGTCGTTTCATTTATAATTATAGCGATATCGTTGTGCCGATGACTCGGCTTACCCGAAAAGGCGCTCCCTGGATCTGGGACAGCAGCTGTCAAGAGGCCTTCGAAAACCTCAAAATCGCTTTTACTTCTGCGCCGATACTGGCTCATTGGGAGCCGAATCGCCCACTTATCGTGGAAACCGACGCTTCCGATTACGCCATTGCGGCTATTCTTTCCATCCAATATGCTGACGGTGAAATTCATCCTCTAGCCTTCCTTTCCAGAACGCTTCATGCGGCAGAACTCAACTACGATACCCACGACAAAGAGCTACTGGCCATCTTCGAGGCCTTTAAAGCTTGGCGTCATTATCTGGAAGGTTCGGGTGATCCGGTGGACGTCGTCACCGATCACAAAAATCTTGAGTATTTCTCTACTACCAAGGTTCTCACCCGCCGACAGGTCCGATGGTCAGAATTTTTACATCAATTTAATATGGTCATTCGCTTCCGGCCGGGGAAACTCGGCGAGAAACCCGACTCGATAACTAGACGCTGGGACGTCTACCCTAAAGAGGGGGATATCGGCTACGCCCAAGTGAACCCTCACAACTTCCGTCCTATCTTTACTAACGAACAACTCACTGCGTCTCTTCGAGCTACCTTCTTGGAAGGTCCGGTTTTACGAGCCTCGATAATCATGGATATCGAAGCCCTACACCAGGCAATCATCCTCGCCCTTCCCGCCGACCCGAGCTCCGTTGTTGGTTTGGAACTTGCAAAAGATCCTTCCAATGAACGTTGGAGCTTAGGTAGTGACAAGCTACTACGCCTTGACGACCGTATTTATGTTCCTAATCACGGCGATCTACGCCTTCAAGTCCTCCGTTACTTCCATGATCATCCACTCTCCGGCCATTTCGGCCAGAACCGCACTCTAGAAGCTGTACGTCGTCAATACACCTGGCCCAAGGTCAGAGACTTCGTACGTGACTACGTTACCTCTTGCACTATCTGTGGGCGCAACAAACCTCGCCGTCATCGGCCTTACGGGTTGTTGAAGCCTTTGCCGGTTCCGGTCCGACCATGGAATTCCATCTCCATGGACTTCATTGAGCAACTGCCAATGTCGAATGGCTTTACCGCTATTCTCGTCGTTGTGGATCGATCTTCCAAACAAGCTATATTTATTCCAACTCACGACACCATTACTTCCGAACAACTAGCTGAGCTTTTTGTTATTCACGTCTTCTCTAAGCATGGTGTTCCTAATCATGTTACTTCCGATCGTGGTTCCGAATTTGTTTCGGCGTTCTTCCGGGCTCTCGGTAAAGCGCTCTCCATGGAACTTCACTATACCTCTGGATATCATCCGGAAGCCGATGGGCAAACTGAGCGTGTCAATCAGACTCTCGAACAGTACATCAGGATCTATTGTTCCTACCAACAAGATGACTGGTCGCCTCTACTTCCGATCGCCGAGTTCGCCTATAACAACGCTCCCAATGCTTCCACTGGTATTACTCCATTCTTCGCTAACAAAGGATACCACCCAAATATCACCGTTCGGCCCGAGGTCGACATGAAGTCTGATCTAGCCAGAGACTTCGTCGTCAATCTCGATGAACTCCACGTCTTCCTTCGAGAGGAAATCCTTTTAGCTCAGTCTCGTTACAAGGAACAAGCTGACAGGAAAAGAATCTCGCACCCGGAGTTCCCGATCGGCTCCGAAGTTTTCGTTCTTGCTAAGCACATTCGTTCTACTCGTCCTACTGAAAAATTCTCTGAAAAATATCTTGGTCCTTTCAAGGTCATCAGTCGACCTGGTACTCTGTCCTACGAGCTCAAGCTCCCAGATTATCTTCGCCGCATTCACCCGGTTTTCCACGTCTCACAGCTGGAGCCGGTTACGCCGAATCCATTCCCCAATCGTACTCAATCTCCTCCACCTCCAATTGAAGTTGATGGTGAAGAGGAGTACAACGTTGCCGAAATCCTCGACTCCAAGCTGGACAGAAGGTATAAACGTTGCCCTCTACGTTATTACATTCGGTGGGCCGGTTACGAAGGTACCGATGATGAGTTCTCTTGGGTGGCTGCTGATGAATTACATGCTGACGAACTTGTACTGGCGTTCCACGCCCGATACCCTCACAAACCTGGACCTTGATCACAAAAAATCATTTTATTCCATTTCCCTTTTTCGCCGCGCTCCGCCGAAGTCTACTTTGTGCGTTTAGAGGATAAACACGATGATAGCAAATTGAGTGTTTATCCCTCTCTCTTAATTGTTAATCTCATCCTTCTATCTACAATTTCACTTATATTTCTTTCACACTTAAACTACTTATACTTCGAACTAATTAATTCTTCCGCCGCGTCGCGGCCCATTCGCTTTCCGATTTCAAATCGAGTTACCATTTTTTTATATATACAAACAAAAAACCAAAAAAGAATTTATACAACAGGATGGAGGACGACAAGAAGTTTACAAGAAGATGGCCGAAGGCCGAGGTCCGATGTCCGTGATACTACTACACTACTCCTCCCTTTCCTTCCCTTTCTCCGACCGGGCCTTCTTCGGCGCCGGCTCATTCCTCTCCTCTTCCTCCCTCTCCTCCATTTCCTCCTCTCCTTCTCCATCCTCTTCTTCCCCAACCTCCTGCTCTACTCTCCTCTGTTCCTCTTCCTCGTCGCTATCCGCAATTCTCCGTCGTTTCTTCGGCAAAACCGACGGCCCAGCCTCCGGCAATTCTGGTGGCGTTCTTCTCCTCCTTGAGGCTTCCGTAACCAACCAATCCAGCTTCCGGTTCATGTGACGATGGTAGGTGTTCGCCTTCACCTGACCATCTCGAAGCTGCCGGTTGTCAGCGAGCAACTGAGCCACCTGGCTCTCCAGCACCGCCAGGCGCTCGCCGTACGGAGTTCCTCCACCCTCGCGCTTCACCGTTGAGGGCCGCCCGGAGTACGAGCACCGGACCTTGGCGTCGTGGCAGGGTTTGCAAATGACAGAACTCCTCTTGCCAGCCTGCATCTGGCAAGAGATCTTCTTGCTCCTGCATCTTTCGCAGGGAGCCCTGTCATCTTCGTCGTCGTCGTCGTCATCCCCGTCGCCGCCATCATCGGGGTCCCCACCAACGGGCTATAAGCCGGAGAATCAGCACAAGATTCTCATCAAAGGGTATCAGTACTCACCTGGGCTTTACCCTTGCCTTTTCCTTTGTCCTTTCGGATTTCCACCACCGGCCGCTGTGGGGAAACCGAACTTCCTCCTGGCGAGGAGCCACGCCGACTACGAGCGGTGGCCGCCTCTGCCATTCTCCTCCGGCGCTCCTCCAACTCCCGCGCTGCCTCCTCCTTCTTCCTCTGCGCCTCCTCCGCGGCCTTTCTAGCCGCCTCCTCCTCGGCTTTCTTTTTAGCCGCCGCCGCCGCCTTCCTGGCCTTCATCCGACGGACCTTCTCCTCTGCCCGCCGGATTGCCTCGTCGTCGTCTTCCTCCACATCGTCGTCGTCGTCTTCTCTAGATTCCTCGGGGACGGTGAGATCGATGGGCGGCGGAGGAGCAGGCCGCGACCTCGAAGGTCCGGCGGTTGGAGATTTTTGGGTGGTGGTGGTGATGGTGCGGCTGGTCGACATGCTGGTTGGACTTAGAAAATTTTGGAAAAGTTAGGGCCTTAGCGGCAAAACCCTGGGCCTTTTATAGGACAAAAAACTGCGCACGGACCAGCGAAAATTTTCCTTCGAGTTGTACGGGGTGTACGGTGAACCGAAAATTTTCACTGATGACTAACGCCAATTCCCGGTACTAACGGCTTTTGAAAATTTTCCTGCTGACTGAAGGGCCAAATCCCCGATCCTGACGGCCTTTGAAATTTTTTCCTTGGTGACTAACCAACTACCGGTATTAATGGCTTTCGAGGGCTCAAGCCTAAGAGGGGGATACTGTCAAGTCCATGCCGCGGGCCTCCATTCCGCCGTTCGGGATTCCGAAGATCTGCTCCTTATTGTTATCTCACTCTTATTGTTCTTTCTCGCTACACATACCCTTTCGTTCTAGTCCCTTCTTATTGTCTTTTACTCTACCCTGCAGGTACTACTCGTATAGCTCCTAGTAGTTAGTCTGGCGCTCCGCACCGCTGCGCCGATCCGTAGATATAAATACTGCCTGTACGCTACTGTAGTTCCTCAGTTTAATTATCGACTTAGATTCCCTCTTTCACTCTGTGCTCCTCTAAGTCTTCAGGCTTACTGCCTTGAAGCTCTCTCTACTCTACCTTAGGACTTATACGTTCTCTGGTTCGCTCCTCGTCACCGGCGTTATCGCCGCTCCGACTTGGCTGCTACTCAGCTCCTCTCTTCTATACTCTCGACCTCCGGGGACTTACGGCGTAACGGCGGTGTTGTTAATAACTTCACTACTGTCCCATTCGTATTCCGCACTTAGACACTCTGTGACCTCTGGCACGGTTACACGGGTTGCATGATCTTAACAGATATCTGTACTGAGCTCGATCCTAACGACGAGCCCAGTTATCCAGATGATGATGATGACGATGGTGATGATTATTTCATTCTTGCCAGCTCCGCGATGGGTGAAGACACCGCACATAATATAGGTCCTGCCTCTTCCCTTGCATATCTTGCGCGCCTTCTTCCTTCATCTGATTCTGATGAACGTGTGGTATTTGATGAAACCGTTGACGATATTGTTGTTCATCGCTTTGGATTTGCACCTGACGGCCACTCTACCGATCGACAATACTCGTGTCCAGAAAAAGTATGGAATTCAATGTTGTTGTTGATAGGATGTGGACGGCCTCCAAGACCTCCTATCCGTGATGAACGAACAGCCAGCCAGCTTTGCACATTTCTGCACGATTTGATGAAAGCAGTTAAATTACACCAAGCGCCTCGAGCGTTTGACTTGATAAGCATCCGACCAAGTTGATGTCCTGCATGCTGGTACTTCCTCTTATTTTTTGATATTACTACCAGCAGCTTCAGAGAGCGAAGCTTTCTTTCTTGCATTCACTAATGCTGCAACAGTGATGGAAATTGCCCGCCGCAAATGGGGCTCTGGAACTACTGATATTATTCACCACTTGATTCGACATGGGTTCTCTTTCAATACTGTTAAGATCATGTACACCGTGTAACCGTGCCAAGGCCACAGGGTGTCTAAGTGCGGAAGACGAATGGGACAGTAGTGAAGTTATTAACAACACCGCCGTTACGCCGTTAGTCCCCGGAGAGCGAGAGTAGAGAGAGAGGAGCTAAGTAGCAGCCAGGTCGGAGCGGCGGTATCGCCGATGACGAGGAGCGGACCAGAGAACGTCAAAGTCCTAAGGTCGAGGAGAACGTACTTCGAGGCGTTGAGCCTGAAGACTTAGAGAAGAGTTAAGTTGAGAAGGGAGATCTAAGTTGATCTAAGTTGATAATTAAACTGAGGAACTACAGTAGCGTACAGGCAGTATTTATATCTACGGAACGGCGCATCGGTGCGGAGCGCTAGACTAACTACTAGGAGCTATACGAGTAGTACCTGCAGGGTAGAGTAAAAGACAATAAGGAGAGACTAGGACGAAAGAGTAAAAGACAATAATGAGAGACTAGAACGAAAGGATATGTGTAGCGCGAAAGAACAATAGGAAGGGATTACAATAAAAGCAGATCTTCGGAATCCCGAGCGGCGGAATGGAGGCCCGCGGCATGGACTTGACAGTATCCCCCTCTTAGGCTTGAGCCCTCGAAAGCCATTAATACCGGTAGTTGGTTAGTCACCAAGGAAAAATTTTAAAGGCCGTTAGGATCGGGGATTTGGCCCATCAGTCAGCAGGAAAATTTCAAAAGCCGTTAGTACCGGGAAATGGCGTTAGTCATCAGTGAAAATTTTCGGTCCACCGTACACCAAGTACAATTCGCAGGAAAATTTTCGCTGGTCCGTGCGCATTTTTGCCGTATAAAAGGCCCAAGGTTTTGCCGCTAAGGGCCTAACTTCCCAAAATCTTCTAAGTCCATCAGGATGTCGACCACCCGCACTACAACCACCAGTAACTCCACTGCTGGCCCTTCGCGGTCAAGACCCGCTGTTCCTCCGCCTCCCGCCAATACCGACAGTCAAGGACAAGAGGACGTGGGGGACGACGAGGACGAGATTTTGAGGAGGGCACATGAGAGAGTGCGGCGGATCAGGGAGCAGAAGGCCGCAGCGGCGGCGAAGAAAAAAGCCGAAGAAGAAGCGGCCAAGAAAGCGGCGGAGGAGGCTCGCAGGAAGAGGATGGCCGCTGCGCGGGAGTTGGAGGAAAGGAGGAGGTTGATGGCGGAAGCGGCGACCGCCAGAAGTCAGAGGGGGACGTCTCCTAGCGAGATGTCCGTCTCTCCACGAAGACCCGTGGTGGAACTTCGGCGGGCGGCGAAGGGCAAGGGAAAAGGAAAAGCCCCAGCGCAGGTAAGTCCTTTGGAATGATACTTAGTGATTAATACTAATCTCGTTTATAGCCAGTTCGCGGGGATCCGGATGACGGCGACGACGGGGACGACGACGATGATGACGAAGAAGACCGAGCGCCTTGCGAGCGGTGCAAGAGTAAGAAACTCCCTTGCCAGATGCAGGCAGGCAAGAGGAGTTCAATTATCTGTAAGCCCTGCCATGACGCCAAGGTGAGGTGCTCGTACTCGGGGCGTCCAACAACCTCGAAGCAACGGGAAGGCGGCTCCGGCGAGCGCATTGCCGTAATGGAGAGCCAAATGGCTCAAAGCCTCGCTGATCTCCGGGCCCTACGGGAGGCCGATTCGAAAACTCATCAATTCCTTCGTCAGTTGTTGAGGAAACAAGAGGACGACCATGCTCGTCTTATAGCCATGGAGACGAGGATGGCTATGATGGGTATGGGAGAGAGACCGGCGGCGGCGGGACCTTCGAGAAGGACCGAGTGGCGGCGACCGCTGAAGCGGAGAAGGATTGTAGAGGAAAGTGAAGAGGAAGAGGGAGTGGAAGAAGGAGAAGGAGAAGTGGAAGGACAGGAGAAGGAAGTGGATGGAGAAGGAGAAGAAGAAGTAGGAGAAGGAATGGAGGCAGAGGGAGAAGGGGAGGCGCCGGCGCCGACGACGGCCGCCTCGGAGAAAGGAAAGGGGAAGGAAGTAGGAGAGTAGTGATACTACGGACATCGGACATCGGCCTTCGGCCTCTTCTTGTATACTTCTTGTCGCCCTACCCTCGTTGTACAATTTTTTTTTTGTTTTTTGGTCTTTGTATATAAAAAAAAATGTTAACTCGATTTTGAAATCGGAAAGCGAAATGGGCCGCGAAGCGGCGTAAGAATTAGTTCGAAGTATAAGTAGTTTAAGTATAAATGGAAATGTAAGTGAAAACAGTAAATTGAAGGGGAATGTAAGCAATTAAGAGAAAGAAATAAACACTCAATTTGCTATCATCGTGTTTATCCTCTAAACGCACGAAGTAGACTTCGGCGGAGCGCGGCGGAGAAAGGAAATGATTTTTTGTGATCAAGGTCCAGGTTTGTGAGGGTATCGGGCGTGGAACGCCGGTACAAGTTCGTCAGCATGTAATTCATCAGCAGCAACCCAAGAGAACTCATCATCAGTACCTTCGTAACCGGCCCACCGAATGTAGTAACGTAGAGGACAACGTTTGTACCTTCTGTCCAGCTTGGAGTCCAGGATTTCGGCAACGTTGTACTCCTCTTCACCATCAACTTCAATTGGAGGTGGAGGAGATTGAGTACGATTCGGGAAAGGATTCGGCGTAACCGGCTCCAGCTGTGAGACGTGGAAAACCGGATGAATGCGGCGAAGATAGTCTGGGAGCTTGAGCTCGTAAGACAAAGTACCAGGTCGACTGATGACCTTGAAAGGACCAAGATATTTTTCTGAGAATTTTTCAGTAGGACGAGTAGAACGAATGTGCTTAGCAAGAACGAATACTTCGGAGCCGATCGGGAACTCCGGGTGCGAGATTCTTTTCCTGTCAGCTTGTTCCTTGTAACGAGACTGAGCTAAAAGGATTTCCTCTCGAAGGAAGACGTGGAGTTCATCGAGATTGACGACGAAGTCTCTGGCTAGATCAGACTTCATGTCGACCTCGGGCCGAACGGTGATATTTGGGTGGTATCCTTTGTTAGCGAAGAATGGAGTAATACCAGTGGAAGCATTGGGAGCGTTGTTATAGGCGAACTCGGCGATCGGAAGCAAAGGCGACCAGTCGTCTTGTTGGTAGGAACAATAAATCCTGATGTACTGTTCGAGAGTCTGATTGACACGCTCAGTTTGCCCATCGGCTTCCGGATGGTATCCAGAGGTATAGTGAAGTTCCATGGAAAGCGCTTTACCGAGAGCCCGGAAAAACGCCGAAACAAATTCGGAACCACGATCAGAAGTAACATGATTAGGAACACCATGCTTAGAGAAGACGTGAATAACAAAAAGCTCAGCTAGTTGTTCGGAAGTAATGGTGTCGTGCGTTGGAATAAATATAGCTTGCTTGGAAGATCGATCCACGACGACTAGGATAGCTGTATAGCCATTCAACATTGGTAGTTGCTCAATGAAGTCCATGGAGATGGAATCCCATGGTCGGACCGGAACCGGCAGAGGTTTCAACAAGCCGTAAGGCCGATGACGGCGGGGCTTATTGCGACCACAGATAGTGCAGGAAGTAACGTAGTCACGAACAAAGTCTCTGACCTTGGGCCAGGTGTATTGACGACGTACAGCTTCGAGAGTGCGGTTCTGGCCGAAATGGCCTGAGAGTGGATGATCATGGAAATAGCGAAGGACTTGAAGGCGAAGATCGCCGTGATTAGGGACATAAATACGGTCGTCAAGGCGTAGTAGCTTGTCACTACCTAAGCTCCAACGTTCATTGGAAGGATCTTTTGCAAGTTCCAAACCAGCAACGGAGCTCGGATCGGCGGGAAGAGCGAGAATGATAGCCTGGTGTAGGGCTTCGATATCCATGATTATCGAGGCTCGTAAAACCGGACCTTCCAAGAAGGTAGCTCGAAGAGACGCAGTGAGTTGTTCGTTAGTAAAGATAGGACGGAAGTTGTGAGGGTTCACTTGGGCATAGCCGATATCCCCCTCTTTAGGGTAGACGTCCCAGCGTCTAGTTATCGAATCAGGTTTCTCGCCGAGTTTCCCCGGTCGGAAGCGAATGACCATATTAAATTGATGTAAAAATTCTGACCATCGGACCTGTCGGCGTGTAAGAACCTTGGTAGTAGAGAAATACTCAAGATTCTTGTGATCGGTGACGACGTCCACCGGATCACCCGAACCTTCCAGATAATGACGCCAAGCTTTAAAGGCCTCGAAGATGGCCAGTAGCTCTTTGTCGTGGGTATCGTAGTTGAGTTCCGCCGCATGAAGCGTTCTGGAAAGGAAGGCTAGAGGATGAATTTCACCGTCAGCATATTGGATGGAAAGAATAGCCGCAATGGCGTAATCGGAAGCGTCAGTTTCCACAATAAGTGGACGATTCGGCTCCCAATGGGCCAGTATCGGCGCAGAAGTAAAAGCAGTCTTGAGATTTTCGAAGGCCTCTTGACAGCTGCTGTCCCAGATCCAGGACGCGCCTTTTCGGGTAAGCCGAGTCATCGGCACAACGATATCACTATAATTATAAATAAAACGACGATAGAAGTTTGCAAAACCCAGGAAGGACTGGATGTCCTTAACCTTCCTCGGAACCGGCCACTCTAGAACGGTCTGAACTTTCTCCTTGGACATAGTCAATCCGTCGGGAGAAAGAATATAACCCAAATACTCAACAGTATCCATATTGAATTCGCACTTGTCGGGGTTGGCGTAAAGCCGATGTTTCCGTAACCGCCGAAGGACTTCCTTGACGTGTTCTCGGTGTTCTTCTGGCGTATCAGAGTAGATCAGAATATCGTCAAGATAGACGATGACACAGACATCGAGCATGTCAGAGAAGATGTCATTAACAAACCGCTGGAAAGCCGCAGGGGCGTTCGTAAGGCCGAACGGCATGACCTTCCATTCGTAAGAGCCGTAGCGGGTCCGAAAAGTGGTTTTCCATTCGTCACCTTCAGCGATTCTGACTAGATGATAAGCGTGAGCGAGATCCAATTTGGTGTATATTTTAGCTCTTTTCGGAGCGTCGAGAAGATCTGATATGAGTGGGAGTGGGTAACGATCCTTTTTGGTGATACGATTGAGTCCACGGAAATCGACGCAAAGGCGAAGTTTGCCGTCTTTCTTCGGGACAAAAAGGACCGGAGCGCCGTGAGGAGAGGATGATGGGGTGATGGCACCAGTAGCCAGCTGTTTGTCAATAAAGTCTTTAAGGGCAACTAGCTCCTTTTCAGACAAAGGGTAAATACGGCCAAGAGGCGGCGAAGCGCCTTCTTCCAAGTCAATCTTCAGGTCGTAAGGTCTGTGTTCAGGAAGTGAATCTGCAGCAATCTCGTCGAAGACGTCTGCAAACTCTGCGTACTCTTCTGGGATAGAAGGATGGAGTGGAGGGACAGTAGGAGTGGTGGAGGAGCGGTCGGCGGCGCGGGCCGCGACCTCTGAGTGGATAGCACGAAGTAAGATGGGTTCCATACCAGCGTCCTTGCAAGCCCTGTTAAAGACTGCAGCACTGACAAGTGCAATGTCGACCTCGGGAGTTTCCAGTTGAGCAGCGAATTGAGAGACCGTAGGGTAGGAGTAGATGGGTTCAAAGGGGAATTTGGGCGAAAGGGGCTTGGCCCGTAAAGTCCGAGAGCGGGAGCGAGAGCGAGGTGAGTCCCCAGGAGGGGTCTCCAGAATTGTCGGTGAAACCGACGGCGAAGGTTCCGGTAGCGGAACAGCGACCTTTGCAACAACAGTGTTGGTAGCAGAAGGCACAGACGTCTGTGGAGAATCAAGATGTGAAGTGTTACGGAACGTAATGTTTCGAGATGCCCAGTCAATCAACGGATTGTAGCGGGATAAGAAACTGTAACCTAATACTGCTTTACAGGATGAATCTAAATGTGTAACATAAAAGGGTAATAGAAGCAGCTCGCCGGAAGGGAACCGAACGGCGATATTCGCCATATCGGTAATGGGTTTAGAAGACAATGAACCATCAAAGAGACGAAGATTAACAGGAGAAATTTTGGTCGTAGGAATAGAGTTCTGATAAACGTAACGAGTATCGATGAAAGAGTCAGTAGAACCAGAATCAACAAGAGTAGGAAATTTAAGAAGAGCAGAGATGGGTTCGGCCGGCGCGGCCGAATCGGATAACGAGAATTCAGTAGTTAACGAAATTACAAGAGAGCGTTCAATGGAAGAAAGAGCGGACGCGTTGAGATATAACTCCCCAGGTGAGGTACGAACCTGATCAACGCAGCTCCCGTTTCGTACCGGGGAACAAGAGCTGCGGATTAGTTTTCTGAATCCTCTTCAACAACCTCAATGGTTGCTTCGGGGGTTTCTTCAACCTCGGCAGCGCGGCCCTTCGATTCTCGGGCCTTTCGCTTGTTACAGTCAGCAATCTGATGCTTACCACCGCAGAAGAGACAAAGGTTGTTCTTCATCCTTCTTTCCTTCTCGGAGGGAAGGACTTTCCCATCTGCACCAAGATGGTTGAACGCGGGGCGCTGACCGCCGGATTGGCCGGAATTCGAAGAGTTCTGGGGCTTACCATTGTTGTTAGGCTTACCACCAGAGAAGGGTTTAGGCTTCGGCGTGAACGGCGCCGAAGAGCCAGATGGCTGAGAGTTGTTTTGCTGGTTAGTAGAACCAGTCTTAAAGTCCGAGGAACCCTTCTTCGGGTTCCGAGCAATAAATGGCTTACCAGCCTCGCGCTTCCTAGTTTCCTCGCGTTTCCAATAACGATTGTCAATACGAAGAACCTCTTGACGGTAATCGGCGAGCGTCGCCGGCTCGGGCAAACGCGCCATTTCGTCCTTGATGCGCTCAGCTAAGCCTCGTCCATAAGCCCATTTCAGGGCAGCAGAATCCCAGTTGGTACTAGCAGCCAGGGTGTTGAACCGGATGTTGTATTTCCGGATGTTCTCGGTTTCCTTCATCTTCAGATTACCGAGAGAATCTTCGGCCTCGCCTTGGGCGTCGTAAACGCCGAAATTATCCTGAAGCTCCTTTACAAGGGCTTTGAAGGAGGACGTCCAGGCCGGCAGCGAGTCGAGATCCGGATCGAGGATATCAGGGACAAACCATTCTTTGGCTGACCCACTGAGATAGGAAAGGGTATAGTTCACCTTCCGTTGGTCGGTGAAGTACTTTGGACGGTCATTAAAGACCAGGGCGAGATTGACGAAGAACGTCTTGAGTTTTCGGGGATCCGAACCGTCGAAGACCTCTGGCTCCTTGACCTTGCTCTTGGATTCAGAGCTGTCAGAAGGGCGGCCGAGGGCGGCGAGGACGGTACCAAGGGTCTCAATGGAACCCTTGAACCCCGAGAGGAGTTCCAACATAGCTCGTTGCTCGTTGGGGATGTCAGGAGAGATTGGGGAACGAGGACCACCAGGTCCACCAGGACCACCAGGTCCGCCGGGACCGCCGGGACCGCCAGGCCCACTGGGGTCACCAGGCTCACCACGCGGTAAACCGCCGGAGTCGTTATCCAGATCGTCATTGTTGTTGTCGGCACCCGGATCGTCGGGATCGACAGGAGGGTCTTGATCATCGTGATCACCAGTGTCCAAATCGAAGTGAGGAGGTGGGTCACGAGGAGATTCAGAAGCAGCTCGACGTTGGGGTTGTTTTCCCGTACGGCGGGCTATGGCTTGGAGAATTGGAGAATCAATTCGAGCAGTTGACCGGCCCCGAGCCGGAGCGACCACGGGGGGTTGTCCACGGCGAGGGGTCAAGACTTGGACAGGTTGTCCGTCACCGGTGTACAAAGTGCTGTACTCAAATTGCTGATCTTCTTCCATGGCTTCAGGAAGAGTTGACGTAGTAGGAACTGTGGCTGGACCGAAACCGCGATTACGGCAACGTGGTTGACCGATGGCAGAGATAGAGTCGGAGAATGGGGCAAATGATTGGGCTGTAGTGAAGAAAGTGTTTTCTTCGGAGTTAGCTCTAGATTGAGCTCGAGTTTTCGGAGGCATAAAAAATGATATGTCAGTACGACGTTAACGGATTGAGTTTAATTATACTGTTAAGATCATGTACACCGTGTAACCGTGCCAAGGCCACAGGGTGTCTAAGTGCGGAAGACGAATGGGACAGTAGTGAAGTTATTAACAACACCGCCGTTACGCCGTTAGTCCCCGGAGAGCGAGAGTAGAGAGAGAGGAGCTAAGTAGCAGCCAGGTCGGAGCGGCGGTATCGCCGATGACGAGGAGCGGACCAGAGAACGTCAAAGTCCTAAGGTCGAGGAGAACGTACTTCGAGGCATTGAGCCTGAAGACTTAGAGAAGAGTTAAGTTGAGAAGGGAGATCTAAGTTGATCTAAGTTGATAATTAAACTGAGGAACTACAGTAGCGTACAGGCAGTATTTATATCTACGGAACGGCGCATCGGTGCGGAGCGCTAGACTAACTACTAGGAGCTATACGAGTAGTACCTGCAGGGTAGAGTAAAAGACAATAAGGAGAGACTAGGACGAAAGAGTAAAAGACAATAATGAGAGACTAGAACGAAAGGATATGTGTAGCGCGAAAGAACAATAGGAAGGGATTACAATAAAAGCAGATCTTCGGAATCCCGAGCGGCGGAATGGAGGCCCGCGGCATGGACTTGACAAATACATTATCACCCTATCATCCATTACGAGGGTACGATCCACAACCACAACGCCAAATTCTTGCCCTGGGTATACGTAATCCTGAATTTCGGCCAGGCCTGGATGAGTATCGCTCATATGGGCATTGCCGAGACAGCTTCTTACGCTCAATAAGAGGTCGTGCAGCGATTCTAGCTGGTGGCCTCATTGCTCGACTCGCTTGCGGTGTCGTTGATGAGAATGATGTCTTTGAAGGGCCGACAGATCAGGCTATACACGGAGTTTGTGTGTCGGACACGAAACTCCAGGTCGCATTTTGGGATGATGAACTGACTGGGGATGAAGAAGATCTCATTTGTGGATGCTATGAAGTATGGACAGGTGAGGTTTATGACTGGTAGTTACATAGTGTGTCTAAGCTTATCACCAGGGAACACAAATCATGGTTATGGTCAATACGCCAAGAGATCATGGTGGCCAAGACCGATCTCTTGGAAGTCCAGCGGTTTCAACTGCGGGTACTGGTCTAACAATGCGGAGGATTGGTTTCAACGACGTCTCAATAATATACGACATTCTCCAAGTTCCGTTCAGCTTTTAACAAACAACCAATGGCGTTCAGCACTGAAATTCAACAAGGATGCTCCTCAACCCTCTAAAAGTAATAATCTAGTGTCTGCTGAATATCTACAGTCGTTCATACAATTCTAGACATTGAACTTAGTTCAATTGTCATTCTGTAATTTGGTGGCATCGCGATGGACGAATGTCAAATACATGTGGTCAATGTAGGTAGAGTACGTAGCCATTAACGAAGTCACGCCTGAGTAAAGAGATCCATATTGCATACGAGGATACATCACATACTACCGACGATCAATCAACAGAGTACATCGAGTGAGACCGCGATGACACAGTGCACCTAGGTGAGGAGCACATCGGGAGAAAGTCGAAGGACTTTGCCCAAACGTTTTGTGTTCTTCGACAAGTTGATTTGGTCAGAATTAATAGACAAAATCAGATGATTATATTAGCTTGAAAAGAGAATGGGGTGCGACCCAAGGTAACAGTCGAGGGAGAAGAATGTAGTCTTGCAGCACTATATGAGTTAGCTCAGTACGTGTAATAAATTCCTTTAGTCTCGGAAGATGTGTTTCACAAGAGAAGTTTTGCGTATTGTGATTCGGGAGTGCAGTTGTCCCGGCTCCTACCGATCATGACAGCCTGCCAGGAAACTGACTTGTCGTGTTCTTCCACACCAACAAAGTTCTTGATGTACTTGAGTCTCACTCGTGCATACACACGACCGCAAAACGACGGCGCTCGCAATATAAATGAAATACATCGAGATAGGTCGAAGGAGCTTGGTTCGGATTTACTTTGGGATGCTTAACTCCTCTTCTCCTGCCACCACCTGGCCCAGCTCCCCCAAACAACCCGGTGACCTACGTTCCAGATCTTGAGCGGGTAATGATTCTAGACAAGGTGGACGCGTGCATATGGGAGGGAGGAAGGAAGGACACGGCTTAGTCCATGGATTGAATGAACATCGGTATCAGAGTCTCAGATGTAGCACTTACATCGATGACCTCGAGTCATTGCCCATTGCAGCAGGACATAGACAAGCCCACAACAGCCCGCAACGCTGCTGCTGTAGAATCCCTGTGCCAGTAGTAATTCATCATCAAATCAAAATACTGTCTGCGTTGTCAGATGTTAGACGAGCCCATGAAAATAGTTGACCGCTGGTTTCAAGAGAACTTCATTTCTCAACTATCTCTTCGTTACTTCCTGGTCGTACAATTGGAAGGATAACTGCATCCGTGAAGCCGCGAAGCGTGACAGCTTTCAATCACGAAGAGCCAGGGGTCGGCATGAAATTTAATTCCTTACCTGTTTCGACCCTGACGGGACTCGAGAACACCGTTTATATGCTCAGACTGGGTTAAGAGAAGGTTATAGGTCAAATCCCATCCCACCCACTTCATATCTTCTCCTATAAATTTCACTGATGCAGAGGTGTATTGCTATCAAAATTTCAGTCCGTGATAACCTACAGATGATTGTCACTGCCAATGTTCATCTGATCAGCGCCTCATGCAGCCTCATGCTCGGCTCACGATCTCCATGACTGACAGAAGGTCGGATAAAAGAAATAAACTCTCGTTGTCTGGTTTCCTTTCCTTGCCTCTGATCTCTACTATATGTTTGGTCTCTCTTATAATCTTCTGGGTACCATCAAGGCCCCCTGTGACGCTGTGAATGCTCTGGCATTTTCAAATGATGGTAGATATCTTGCAAGCGCCAGCAATGATATGGTTGTCCGAGTCTATGATCTCAAGCGGCACCTTTCAATGATATGGACTTATTGCGGCAAAAGTCCCTTTACTACAGTAGTCTGGTGCAAAGAGCAGCTTTTCACCGGAAATGGAGATGGAGAGATCATGATATTCCATCCTGTAGCGGTGAGTCGAAATGAGGTTCCTGTGACTTGTCCCCGCTTGACTAACAAGCTTCCACTCTCGAATCAAGCACTGGTTTGGAAAACAAACAGATTTCAGAGTTCTACAGCCCCATTTACTGTCTGCCTATGCTAGTTTTCACTCAGGGGAGGTGTGTTTAGCCAAAACTTGAGCCCAAGGGCCCCTAAATTGCGGATCATGAAGTGCCCTACTACAAGGTACATGGTGAGGTAAGGTGTAAGTAGCATACTACAAGTACATATCAAAGTATGAATGAAATGAAATGAAATTACAAGTACAAGAGAGGGATGGGAGGGAGGGTGACAAGAAAAAAGCGCAGATCAAGCTAGATCTGCTCAGATAACAGTTAGTCGACATGAAGGCGGATTCCAAGGGTAGGGAGCGTTTCTGGAGGCCTCTGCAAACCAACAGATCCCCACCAGCAACTGAATCTTTCATTCAGTACCTTGGAAGTGTACAGGAGGCCTCCTCCTCACTTCTGACAGGTACATAAATATTCAGTTGCTGCCTCTCACCAAAACTCTACAGATATTCCTCACTTCTGAAAATGTGTACAGGTTTCTCCACAACCTCACTTTTCAGCTGTGTACAGATTTATCTCTCTCTCTCCAGGTTTTACCTCACTTCTGTACAGGGTCTCACCCTCAGATGTGTACAGGTTCCACCAGATTTTTTACAGAAGTGTACAGGCTGTGTTCCTCACCTCTTCAGTTGTGTACAGGTGTTTCCACCTCACTTCTTCAGTTGTGTACAGGCCAGACCTCACTTCTCAACATGTGTACAGGTCACACCTCACTTCTGTCCTCAGATGTGTACAGGTAGCACCTCACATGGGGCCAGTTGGATCAGGTGATGTGTTGATCATGTGTTCTGTTTCAGTCAGGTGCCAGAGTTTCTGAGCAGAGGCCTGTGTGAAAAAGGTCAGAATCATGTGATCCCATCAGCTCTTCCTTTCTCTCTTACCACCACCATCTCCTGTTTGGTGATTTGGGTGAGAACACTGGCTTTCTTCCACAGCTCTGATAGCTTCAACATCACCCTCCAGGTCCTCCTTTCATCTGTACAGGCCTAGCCTCAGATTCAAGGACCTGACATAGCTCTGACAGCTTCAACATCATTTTTCCTTGTCTTTTGTGTATAGATTAGAGGTCTGGGTTCTCAGTGTGTCTATGATATCTTTTATGGGTGTTTTACATGGTTTTCAACTGATGTTTGGGCAGATCTAGGTTGATCTGGTCCTTTTTTGGTCACCCTCCCTCCTCTCCCACATTACATCTTTACTTTCAACCATTTCACTCCACTCTAACCTTGTTATTTTATTTTTTACTTAGACTTCTGTTTTCATTTATATTATTTACCATACCATACCCTTCCTGTAGGGCCCTGCATGATGCATTCAATTTAATGGGGCTTTGGCCCAGTTTATGGCTAAACACCTCCCTATGAGTGAAAATAGGCATAGGTACCTAGTAGAATGAAAGATCAGAGGTGATCTGCGCACTGAGAGCCCTGATATCCGAAGATCTGACAATCTGAAGGTGATATGAAGCAGTAGATGTGGTCAGATCTGTATGGATGTGTTGTGAGCTCTGTACAGTGGAGAGATCAGTGATAGTGGCGGAGCCATACCAGAAAATCCGTTATCTGAGACTCTAGAACGAAGCCTGTGGTCTGTACAGATGTAGGAGAGGCTGGTGGGGTGATGTTAGAGCTATCAGAGCTGTGGGGAGTGTGCAGATGTCCTACCCAAATCCGAAGATGGTGGGGGAAAGGAAGGAAGAAGGACAGAGTCAGATGACACTCCTGATCAAGCTAATCACAGGCCTCTGCTCGGAACTCCGGCACCTGTGATTGCCAGAAGTGTCCCATGACCTGCCTTGATCATCTGACAACAAGTTACCAAAACTTCGGAATTGCAAAGTCGAAGTTGGCATGTAAAAGTACACACTGCCGGAGCAGTACTAAAGATATTGACAAACGGATTGCGTAGCGTTGTTCCTGACGTATTCCTGCCGTAGTCCACCAACGCACGCGTGTATATAGCGCGAGGACGACGAGCTATAAATAAAACAAACTCGAAGCTCCAGAATAAAAAGTTGAGCATTCTCAAGAAAAAGTGTTCATAGTGTGAGATATGATCAAGATATGAACAAGGTGATTGTTGGAGGTGATTGGGGGAGTGGTAATCGAGATATGAGCAGGTGGTGGTGATGGTAGGACAAAGGGAACAACAGCAATTAGATGTATTCATGTGCACTATTGAAGTGATGAACACAGATCTAATTGCTGTGGTGTATCTGTTGTTTGCAGAGGCCTCCAGAAACGCTCCCTACCCTTGGAATCCGCCTTCATGTCGAGTACTGAGCAACTACAAGACTCTGTAGCACAACCTACTGAGCTTGTATTAAGGCATTGACATTCTCTGCACTGAGCTGGGTGGCATACTGTTTGGGTTAGCTGAAGGGCGCTCCAGTGTGTTTCAACTTCAACAAGTGCAGTCTCCTTCAACAGGTTATGGGCCCCGTGCTCTAAACTGTGCATTGATCTGTTATTGTCCTTGCTTGTTCTTTACTTGTGCGCTCCCAATAGTACTCCACTGTTGTGGTCTTTCCAACTACCTCTTGTCTATCTTGACTACTGTTAACAATGTCCTCTTCTACAACCATCTCAACAACTCCATCATTTAAAGTCCTTAACAAAGACAACTACAATGATTGGAAAGGGAACATGAAGGCATCTCTGATGTCTCATGGGTTATGAAGACTAGTCAGTGGAAAGGAGAAACAACCCCCAGCCTCTGATACAGAGAAACTGGAGAAATGGGAACTTAAAGCTGAAAAGGCTGCTGGCTTGATTTATCTTGCTGTCAGTCCTGCTCAGCAAGTTCCAATAAAGGCTCATCAAGAGGACCCTATTCGTATGTGGTCTATCCTGGAGCAGCAGCATGTGTCAAAGAAGCCTGGTGCTAGGTTTAATGCCTATAATGCACTCTTCACTATCACCAAGTCTGCTGATGAATCTCTAATGGATATGGCTGCAAGAGTTGAAGCTGCAATGGCTGATATTCAGAATTTGCGCCCTTCTGTTGCTCCTATTGCTGTCCAGTCAAATGGACTTCCTGTCCCCGGATTCACA